CTCTACAAGCCCAGCCCCCAAAAAGCTATATTCTTGTCAACCACTAGCACCAACAGTGAGTGTTAGGGTTAGGGTTTTGTGTTGGTCAGGTATCAGGGGAGATACCTTGACACCTTACTTGACTTAACATGACTGAACAATCAGTTGCACACTGCACTAGCTGTGTAATGACACAAATTATGTGCATTATAAGTCATGAATCAAGATACTTGGCAATACACCTATATAAATAGCTGGACCCATTTTGATGGTCAGCACTACCAATGTCACCCTTTTGGTGTAGTGGTAAACCATACAGTTTGTGACATCTGGTCTATATCACTTTCTGTAACATGTAATGAGCATCACCTCTAATATAGACCCAGTGCAGTATACTACACATATAAAGTAGGACAGGCTTACAGCCCTGGAGCTGTAAATCTAGTTCTAACAAGCAAAGGACAACAAAAGATAGATCAATATCAAAAAGATGTCAGCTAAATAGGGTAAGCCTACAAAATAGGTCTTTCCCCAATAAGGAAAACAAATTATTCCTTTGTTATGTATCTTCCTCAAGAGAAAGCTTGAATCAACAATTCAGATCTAATGACAAGTCCCCAGTCTCCCAATTCTCCATCCCAGCAAGTCGGGCCCATTCCATGCTATCTCCTCTGCCTTGCAAAACATCAAAGGGCGTCATTAGGGACTGTAGACTCACCTTTGACTGATTTTCTTGCATGCGTGCACCGGCAGCAGAGACATCATAGCAAAACAAGCCCTGGGGGAGAATATAAGATCCCATCTGCGCCGTATCCACAGACCCGGTTGAAGCGGCAGGAAACAAATTCTCCACCACATCTGCAAATGGCATTGACAACGCCGTAGGCTCACTTGAGCTCGAGAACGCCAGATCATACCCACACATTGGGGTATGTCCTGCACCTGTGCTGGTATCCCCGATCACCATAGGGTGTGCTAGAGACTTGACTACCAGCTGCTCCGATGCACTCTCTTCCACCTGTGCATCTTTCAACTCCCGGTCAGGACGCACATCATTGCCCCCGCGCCTGCGCCGTGCCGCCTTGCGAAGCGCCTCCAGCACAGACACCGCGCGCATCGCGACCTCGCCCTCGCCATCTATTGCATTCTCTGCCGCGATGGTGCACGCATGGAGCATGCGCAGTGCACGGTCCATCAGGTCGAGGCACTCTGTCTCGCACGGGTGCGGCGGTGTCTGCGCCACCGCGCCCGCAAGCGCAACAGCGCCGTCGAAGACAAAGTATGGATAGTGGAACAGGGTTGCGGGCGGCGAAGCGACCCATGTGGTGTCTGTGGAATGTACTGTGCTCAGCTCACGTACGAGCTCGAGTGCGAGCACGATGCACTGCTCGCGGCTGGGGTTTGGGCATGGTGCGCCGTTGCTGGGGGAAGCTAGAGCAGCGAGTGACGGGTGCATGAAATGCGGGCGGTGAATATTCATGAGTGCGCCGAGATAGTACGCGGCGAGCGATTGGCGCTGATAGGCGAGGTTGCGCTCGGCGAGTGTGGTTGGTTCCGACAGCGCAGACTGATAGCGGGGATCGCGCCACTGCATTTCCGGGGGCAGTCGAGCTTGCCATTCTCTAAATTTTCGGTCCGTCGCGAGGACAGTGGCGTATGATGGTGCATGCAAGCTCAAACACTAGCGTTGACAATTATGGTCAGCATATAATACTCAGAAAGTCATCGCATTTACCTACCTCAGCGACACCATCACCAATTATATCACATAGCGTAACGAACGCCCGCTGGAACGCTGCATTTGGGTTGGGCGATCCATCGCCATGTACCGGACCAGGAATGAGGGTCACATCATATGTGCCTCTCGGAGCCATCATTGGTCGGCCCAGGACAAACGAGAACATTCTGCGAGAAAGGAGAACATGTAAGAAAGGCAAGACCGGGTTTCCATGAATATCCACTGACCTGTCCGCACACCATAGCAGCCACCACCCGAACAGCCTTAGCTCTGCCTCCTCCTTGCCCATCTCTTCCCACTTTCGCCACCCAGGATCACGATGCAGCCCGTTTGCCTGTGCGGTGCGCAGCGCAGCTCCTGTCAACTTCCATGCCTCGCTGACACGTCCTCTATCGGACAGGTACGCTCCGAGGAGCCCAGAAGCTATACAGCTCAATACTGCACCGTGGACCGTGCGCTCTGAGAGCGCATACGCGCGCACTGCGAGCAGAATATCCTCGCCGAGCCGCTTCGCCGACACTGCATGAGTGAAGTACGCATGGGCATCCGCTCCGAGCCGACGAGGCGCGAGTGCGAGAACAGCAAAGAGGAGGGAGATCCAGTGGGGATTGACCTCCTCCTGGCACGCGGTGCATAGCGTGGGCGCGAGGCAGGCGAAGCCAGGGCAACGCGGAATATCGAGGTGCGCCCACATCCTCGTACACGAACTGCGGAACCAGTTCTCAGGGAGCCCGAACTCCCAGTTGCGCTCTGCAAAGAAGCCGTCAACGAGCTGCTCGACACGCTGCCGCGGGGGGAGGGCCGCGAGTAGCGCACGGATGGGTGCAGAGAATGGGTGCGTGTTTGTGTGCTGGGAGTAGCACGCAGGTCGGGTCGTCATGCTCGAGCGGGAATAGGGAAACCGCCAAGTTTCTGGGGAGCCGAGCTAGTTCAATGTGAGAAGTGGAAACGTGAAGAACGCGGGCGGCATACCTCGTGCAGAGCGCAGAGGACAGTTCCATCCCCGATATATTCCTCCCTGGGGGCCAGGGATAGCTGGGCTAGAGCGACCGCCGCGACTTGCATGTCGTAGTCGTACAGAGCATGTGGTCCCCCGAGAGCATGCCCATCGTCATCGTTCTCTCCGGACTGTCCGGAAGTGTTGCCCAGAGCGTGCAAAGGCTTAGATGTAGCACTGCTCTCTGGAAGAGCAAGAGTGTCGACACCATTAGCGAGGTTCTGGCGCAGCAACGTTTGTTCCAGCACCGCGATGCGCGCAGACAATGCTTGAATAGTCTCGCTTGCTGAATTGGCCAAGGCCACAGCGGGGGATTGTTGCGGGGCGGGGCGGGAAACAACGGGCTCCCAACGACACAGGTGAGCGACACCTCGAGATACACATAGGCCGCACGGAGTGTGTCGATCGCATTTCTGCGTGTGAGTGTAAGCAGCTGGGCCACATGGAACCACGAGATGTGCTAGCTTACTTGACGACGTTTGGTGCACTCTACGCAACTGAGACGTTGCCTCTGTCTAGTCTGCTTGATTTTACCTCCCTCACTTGCTCCCGTGCCCGTGGCCTGCCTCGCAATGGGAGGCATGTGGCTGCCGTACTACAGCGGATTACCGGACGATGATTGGACGCGCTGCCGACGAAGCCTTTGTGGAGGACGATAGGGCCTGAGCTGGCGAGAGTGATCCGGTGAAAGTGCGACATTCGATGCGTCCAAGCAGAGAGGAGACGTCTTCGAAGGTTAGTGCGCGCATCTGCTAAGTGCTATCCCCGCCTGACTCATCGGTTGATCGACCTGACGCGCGCTCCGCTGCTAAGTACGGAGAACTTGATAGTTTCCATGAACAGCATCCCAATACAGGCGTCGAGCTCGTTGCAAGTTCAAAGCGAACTCCTCGCATGTTACTTGACATGACCAATAGCATTGCGGATGAATTGTCATCCAATTCATTCTGCTCCCATGATTGCGATAAATTCAAGTGACACGTAGTGAAACATTTCTATTTTATTCTTCTTCATTACATGGCTTCTTCCATCTCGTACAGCAGCAGTACAACAGCGAATCCATCCGTCAATCGTACACACCGCAATTAGTGGCATGAGGCGCGCTCAGAGCGCACCGTCCTTCTTGGCAGCGAACGCGAGGAGGTCGCAGACACGCTTCGAGTAACCCCACTCGTTGTCGTACCATGAGATCAGCTTGACGAAGTGGGGGTTGAGCGAAATACCCGCCTCAGCGTCGAAGATTGACGACGCATCGTTGCCAACAAAGTCCGTGCTGACGACCTTCTCGTCGGTGTACGCCATGATACCCTTGAGCGGGCCGTTGGCGGCCTCCTGGACGGCGACTTTGATGTCCTCGTACGATGCGGGCTTCTCGAGCCGCACGACGAGGTCAACGACGGAAACATCGATTGTCGGGATACGGAAAGAGAGACCGCTGAAAGGAGGATCATCAGGTGATATCCAAATTTCCAGTATGAGAAATAGGCGTACGTGAGCTTGCCGTTGAGACTGGGGATGACTTTGCCCACGGCCTTGGCAGCACCGGTAGAGGAGGGAATGATGTTGTTGCCGACAGCACGACCACCACGCCAGTCCTTGTTCGAAGGACCATCGACTGTCTTCTGAGTCGCAGTCGTCGAGTGGACGGTGGTCATGAGACCCTCAACGATACCAAACTTGTCGTGGATGACCTTGGCGAGGGGCGCAAGGCAGTTGGTTGTGCAAGATGCGTTCGAGATCTATAGACCGAGGAACGGATCAAAATAAAGAATATACGTGCGCGATGAGAGGACGCACGACGGTGTATTTAGAGTCGTAAGCGTCGAGGTTGACACCGCAAACGAACATGGGTGCATCAGCAGACGGGGCGGAGATGATGACCTTCTTGGCACCACCCTTAAGGTGAGAAGAAGCCTTGTCGATGGTGGTGAAAACACCAGTAGACTCGACAATGTAGTCGGCACCGACGGAGCCCCACTTGATGTTGGCAGGATCCCTCTCGGCGAAAACGACGATGGGCTTGCCCTGGACGTAAAGCTTTCCATCCTTGGCCTCAACAGTGCCCTTGAAGCGACCGTGGACGGAGTCATACTTGAACATGTAAACCTGGAAGGGGCCCGAGTGAGCACGCGTACGTGAGTGTGGAGGACGGGCGTACCATGTACTCGAGGTCAATGAAAGGGCTGGAGAAATGCGCATGGTAAGGAAATGGAGTACAGAGTGCATGCGGATACGCACTCGTTCACAGCGACGACGTCAATGTCTCCGTGAAGGAGAGCATTACGGAGGACGATACGGCCGATACGACCTAAAATGAATTTTTTTGAGACGATGTTGGCAGATATTCATAACAAGCTGTATGCGCGACGTACCGAAACTAGGTGAACACAACATACAGATGTGTTAAGAGAATTGCTAGTAGTTAGATATCGCAACGACTTACCCGTTGATTCCGACCTTGACCTACACGCGAATGGTCAACAAAAAGCGGATCGCGCAGGGGGGAAACGACTTACTGGCATGATGAGTTGGAGAGAGAGATGTGGTGTTTGAGCGGGGGACAGGGGATGGGGAGGAGCGCGGGGGAGAGGACGGGCTTATAAGGCGCGATTATCGGTATCTCTGATCGCGCGCGCTCTGCGTCATCGGCTGTCACTCGCTCGCTCGAGTCGCGCCGATCAACCACCTCGCTTCTGGCCGTGGCCGACCGCGCCCCCGACGCGGCCCACCCGAGTGCAGCCCAGTCGGCGGGCCCAATGCTGCTGTCGCGCCCGCCGTCGCTGGGGGTCTCGCCGTCGCCCCCGAGTCCTGCGGCCGCTGCTCTGTGCTGAATCACACAGTGGCGAAGAACGTGACTGTCATCACGGCCGAACGTGCGCCGCCTGAGTCAGGCATCGTTCCACCTTCGGCCGCCCCTCAGCCAGCATTCAGCCTAGCGGACATACGCTCTCTGCCCACCTCCCTTCTCACGCGCCCATCCTAGTCCCCTCTAATTACCATCGCGCCCGCTTCCGAATCTTCTACCGTTACTTCACCGCTATCTGATCAGGCTGTGTCCCCCAATGGTGATCGTAGACACCTCTGATGGACTCTGAACGCGCTCCGGCCGGGACTGCGCACGATGTACTCTCGATTGGACCAGAGCAGTCATCGATAGGCTTTTTCACATTGCCAAACGTAAGTCATGCCTACACCGAGTACGCAATCACCATCACCCTTGTCACCATTATCACATACCAATGCCATCCTGCCATCGTGCGAGCCTGAGTCTACTTTGCTGCGACCTGCCTCTGCCGTACACTGTCGTGTCCAGACACCCTTGAGAGTCGAGACGGCCATCATCTTAAGTTGCAACTCAAGTACGAGTCCAGTCTAGATCGCCGCGGCTGGCCACCAGTTTGCTAGATTTCGCCCCAATAGTCCTTCACACGTCTGAGAGCGAAACAGACTAAGACCAGCGCCGTTCGAACTTCGCCTCGACCGCTCGGGTTCCACCAGCCAATAATGGCATCTCAACTGGCACAGCGTCCTGCGGAACCAGCTAGATGAGTCAGAATTCCCGGATCCTGAATTGTCAGAAATTGCATTCCAGGCTTGCCAAAATGTTGTCCACCCGCTCGCGTCGCTCGAATGAGCCCGGGTGGGTGCACTAGAATTATACACCTTCCTCTCGATTGAGTGGCCAGATGCTAGATGTCTAAGGTAGGTGTCCCCAAGACAATACAGGCTCATTAAGCGTCGCAGGGAGCTCGACGGGAGCTCGGGAGGCGCCGCATCGCCATGTTTGGATCTTGTCACGCAGCGCGCCGTGTAACACCTACTGTCACGCCGTTCCGCGCGCGACGCTGGCTTTAACTGTAACCAGGCCACATCCCGAACGCGAATGCGACTCACCTATAACATTTCGTAAGCAGTGCTGGTGCCTACTCCATGTCGTCCGGAGTAGCAGTCGAGGAGAGCCGCGCAAAACGCATAGAGCGGCTGCAGTCCAAGTTCAGGGATCGTGGCGGGTGAGTTCCCCGTAGCATTCGTGCTTGCCGTGCTGAGTTGGGTGCGCGTGTGTCCGCGCGGCGGGGAGGCAGGATCTTCGTGCCTTCTGAGCACAATGCGCTGCTCGATGTCCTCTTGGCGCGTGGCGTGAACGGCGAGTCGCCCTCCAAGCGCCGCATGTCGCGCAAGTCTCTGAACGCGGCTGTGATATCCACGACATCGCCTCTCACTGAACGGCGTCAACACGATGTCGAAGACGAGCTGCCCATCACGGCACAAAGCCCAGAAGACCACATAGAGGGGTCGCCGCTCCGACCACCTGCAGGGACCAAGGCTCGTAGAAGGCAAAGTACGAAGCCGGCAAAGGAGGTCAAGGCCAAGGCAAACACCAGGAGAAAGTCGGTGGTAGGAGAAACTCAATTGACCGCCAGAGGACCTCTTGCTATAGAGGGTGAGCCTGCTGCTGTGACGAAAGCGAAGCCCAGGAAGTCGGCTCCAGGAGGGAAGATCGTGGGGTCTCTGGCTAAGAGCAAAGCGAAGACGACTAGGAAGTCGATGACAAGCAAGAAAAAAGCGAGTGCAGAGGCGCCTGTGATAGAGGAAGAATGCGAGCCTGTAGCCGGTGAGCCTTTCCATCTTCTATTATAGCGCATATATTCAGTATACGTATGTCGCTATACGTCCACAGGCCCTTCTCGTCCACGTAAACCCCAGGCCAACAAGTCTCAAGAAAGGAATAACATCCAAGAGTCCGTGATTGCTGGGCGAGAGCTGGCAGGTGCGAGTTTCCTCGAATCGAATTAGCATGGAACATATGAACATTATGTAGATACCCCTGTGCAACCCGCCACTAAGCGTGTAATCAAGAAGCGTGCAACGCAAGTCAATGAAGAAGCGCTAGAGGAGGATAACGCAGGTGTGTTAGCTATATGCTCTTTGTTTCGGTCTCTCAGTTACATCTATAGACAGCGTACGCATGGAGATCATGGCACACAAACGGTCTTTTGCTGCCCCAGGAGATTCTGATCAAGAGAATGATCACGAGCCACCTCAGAAGAAGCGACTCAAGACGGGGAGCTCAAGATCGAAATCGGCCGCTCCTTCACGGGAAACTCATGTGGAGGCCGCGGAGGAAAGCGAGAACGATATTCCTTTAGCTTTAGTAGTGGAAGCGAAGAGGAAAAGGAAGGCACCTCTTGTTCGTCGACTAGGTCAGTTTTCCATGTTTATGCGTCTATCATAGGCTCATAGGGGATGCTATAAATTCAAATACTAAAGTTGCTTCCTTGCAATCAAAGTCTACGTATTCAAATAAGAGTAGGACAAGTGGTCCGGCGGCTAAAAGGACCGCCTCTGCTGATGATTCTCAGTCGGATAAGCAGGCCGCAGCGGGGAACAAACGTGCAGAGTCGAGGCGGACGAAACGCCAGGCTTCCATTATGCTCGATTCGGATGCCAAATTGGAGCACGAGCATCCGGCGGAGAAAAAGAAAGGTTCATCCAAGAAAAGTGAGATACAGTCCCGTAAACCCCTCGACAGTGATCAAAAGGAGCGGAGTGCCGACGATATTCAAGAAGACGATGAGCCGGAAGACGCACCTCGGAAGCGCGCTAGGACACTGAAATCCACTGGCAACACCGTCCTCGTAGACATGCCCATTCAACAACAGCAGACGGAGGCGGAACCGAAGGACAGCTCTAAAGCGCTCGCCTCGGGCAATTCGAAGGCTAAAGGCAAGGTATTGGAAGACACAGCGAAAAGACAATTGCCTTCGTAAGTACCTCTTTGGGTTAAGTAACATTGAGCAAATATTTAAGGACTTCGAAACATAGAACTGAAAAAGAAAATCGTACTATTCGCCCTGCAACTAACACGAAACGTCCCACAGTCAAATTTAAGCGCAAACCAAAGGTATGTCTGTCGTTGGGAAGAGATTATCTGGGCTGACAGTAACATTGGTATCTAGCCTAGGCTATCACACTTTCCTCGACCACCTCCTGAGGACGGTGATGAAGCCGATCCCATAGATTTCTTGTCATGATTTGCATTACTCCAAATTCTGTAAGCAGCAATTCTCTTCTACTTTTGACACGCATGTCACGGTAAGGATCATGTATGTATGTACTAGTGTCTGCTGTATGTGGAATGCAACCTGCACGAGCACAGTAAAGCATCTGTGAAAGACTGATTGCGTCAGGAACACTTTTCTCAAAGGTCAACAGGGCATCAGGCCGACATGCCTCCTGCTAAGGAGATAGAGTATGCAAGGATGTAATTGAATGCGTTCTACTCTATGTTACAATCCAGTTGCTGCAGGCAAAACGGCATCCTCGTCTCTGCCTATTAAGGGATGTTAGTAAATCCACCAACCGCCACTCTGCAGTCCTGGGACGCACCCTCGTAGAATTTCTGCAAGAACGTCCGCGGCGGGCGCTGCGTCTCCTGTAAGAGAATGCCCATGACGTGGTCCGTCTGTTTCCATAGGTTCACCGTCTCCTGGTACTCCTGCCTGCCCTTGAGAAGGAGCACGTCGACGACCCGCGTGTCGGACACGTAACGGTTCTCTTCAAACCTCTTGCGGATGGAGTGCCGGAAGTACTGCACGGAGACTGGCAGCGCATACAGCGAGATGACCTCGGGTGCCTGCGTTGGATGTGCGCGTGCGCGCAGGGTTAGAGGCAAAGCGGAGAAAGACGGAGGATGAGACGCACGGCGCGGTACCAGTCTCTGTAGAGCTGGAAGACTCGCTGGCGAGCCTGGCCTGAACTGGCGGAGATCTGAGCTGTCTTTGCCAGCCGTGCGGGAATGGTGGTCATCGTCGTCGTCGACGGGTGTGTTGAAGAGTTAGAACTTAGAACAACCGAGGACAGGCAGCAGCGCCGTGCGTGAGCGTGCATGTGACCAGATCCGCTGAGCGCACGGGCGAGGCATTGGACAGTCTGCGCGGCAACGCCATCCGTGAGTCAAGCACCGTCCTCTGCGATCGATTTTCCATCTCTTGTATCTTTGCGGACCTCTCCCTTTCATAAATCACGATGGCTCGAGGTGGATTCAAGTTAAAGCGCGGAGGCGGACGAAAGTACGTCTGCCCTCCCTGTGCGTACGGCCCGCTCGGATACTAATCTCTGCCCGTAGCTTCAGGTATGCTATGCCTTTCACGATCATGCTAATCGCCCTTTAATCGTATATTTATACAAAGCAAGAACCTCGTGCTGGATGAGAATGGCACCGCTGTGGCGTCAGACAAATGGTAATTATTCTGCTACCGATGTCTCTTCCTCAGATGCACTGATAGTGGCACGCATCCAGGGCATCTCGCGATAAGAAGGAGAGTGATGAAGACGAGTCTGGCTCCGAAGAGGAGTCGGAGGAAGAGTCAGAAGAGGAGTCCGACGCGGCCCCGGCGGCGGGTGCGAAGGGGAAACAGCCAGAGCTCACTCGCGCTGAGCGCCGAGAATTGAAGAAAAAGAAGGCGCAGGCAAAGCAGGAGCAGGCGCAAGAGGGTGATGACGAGGACGAGGAGGAAGATCCGCTCTTCGCAAATCCGAATATCGCCGCAGGCAAGATGATGAACATATCCGATCTTAACGAGCCGCGACAGCTGTCGCGTCGTGAAAGGTGCGAAAGCTCATTATAAGGTCACGATTCCAAGATCTTACGTTCGGGTGCTAGGGAGGAGAAGGAGAAGAAAGATGCCAAGGAGCGATACTGGAAGGTTAGCCCTTGGTAATCTTCGATCAAATTAGTCCCATGGGTGATTGACCGTTTTCGCATGATCTAGCTTCACGAGCAAGGGAAGACTGAGCAAGCAAAAACTGACCTTGCACGCCTTGCTAAGATTCGTGCTGAGCGCGAAGCCGCACAAGCGAAGAGGAAAGCAGAAGCTGAAGGTATATTTTATCGAAATTACTGCTCACGCCTGAGACTAATGCATGAGTACTTTCAGCGAAGGCCGCCGAGACCAAGAAGAAGGAAGCAGCAGCTAGAGGAAAGCGTCTATAGACCATGGATGCGCTACGATCTACCTGTATTCTGTACCCAGTATTCAAGTATTGTACAAGTATGCTGTATTGCTACATCGTTACGAGAAATTGTGCGACGGAAACACTTTTCTATACTTTGCCATGTATTGTACCTGTTCAATACCCAACAGAACGCCGAACACATCTCAACGGCGAAGCTCTATCTTTATGCACAAACGGATTGCTGCCGTGTCTTGCGAAGTCGCAGCTCCCTGAAGGACTTCAACTGCTGGAGCTCTGTGCCAATCTGCTCATCCGTCGGCATGTGCTGCTCGCCCACCCAGCCCCTCATCCATTTCGTCAGTTTTTGATACTCGCTTCTCCCTCCCTTCAGTTGTTGCACTAACGGCGCGTCCATACTGACCTCAGCCCAGTGGACCAGCGCAGAAGCAAGTGTTCTTTCGGAGGGCCTGATGCCAAGATGCCGCATCCAAGCAAGGGCGAGAGGTATTTGCGGAATGCGCGATTCCGTCGCGAGGAGATTGATGTAGGCGTAGAACAGGGCGTCATTCGGAATGATATGAGCAGAAAGCGAAGAGGCTGTGCGCCCCGCAATGTCCTTAGAAACACCTTGGACATCGACAGACTGTCGGGAAACACTCCGGAAAAGATCCGCAACGGGACTCAAAGCCTGGAAATCGGCGGAGGGGCGAATGGCTCTCGCCGGTGATGGGACCATCTCCAGATCAGGCGAGTTGGTGAAGAGGACTTCGTGTATGATACGGAGGGCCACGGTACCAGCGCGCTCACTTCCCCAGAGTCCTGTATTCAGTGTTGGGTTGCTGGCATCTAGCGCTTTACTGAAGTGAGAGAACAATTGCTGACGAATTGCTTCAGGGGATAAGAGAGTAGTCGCCGGCCGAGGAAGAAGACCACCTAGCCCAAACTCTGTAAGCGCACCTCGTAAGGAAGGGTTGGAATGACTGCTAGCAAAACGAGCTGTTTGGAGAAGTATGGTTAATGAGAAACAATCCGGCCGGACACCGAAGAGGATCTCCATGTTATGCCACAGCTCAAAAACAAGGTCCGAGTAACCGGCGCGTTGAAGGGAAGCCATGAATACGTTGACTATCCGAGTATTGACCAAGTCCAGTATTCTGAGCCTCCGAGCTTGGCTTCGACTCAGCTTGGCCGCGAGACCAATTCGATTATCAGCCGCTTTTTGCAGTAGCTGAAATGCGCGATTGGCATGCCCGCTCAAAGTCAGCACCTCGATACCGACCGTCATGACCCAACGTGGTAGTCTCGTTTTACGACAAGCCAATTCGCCCCAAACTAGGAGAGCATTTTGATAATCCTGACGACGGATTAATCCGCGCAAAGCGAGCAGATGGAGCGTGGCATCAGACCGTAGGAAAGGGTTCATAGCCCTGGCGCGATGGAGGGTATGCAAAACATGCTTCCCTGTGGTCTTCGGATTTTTGGTAGCTGAGTGCAGTGCAAATCTCCAAATCCTAGTGTACTTGAGCTTGGTAGCAGCCAACTGTTCGACCGACTTCTGCATGCTGCTACTCCGCGAGGATTTCCTCTCAGCTTTCGGCACGAGGAATGAGGCCGAATATGACTGTCGTCGTCTTCCTCTGTGAAGTCGGTTGGGTGCAGAGCTCGCATGAGTTTGTGGATGAGAAGGCAATATCCGAGCGAACTCGAAGGTAGAAACGTAGCGGTTCTGGGATTTGATATATAGACGGGCATCCTCCGATGATGTCTCTTCGGCAGGTAGGGACTGTAAATCTACGCCATAGTTTTCGCGAAGGAGGCGATAGCATAACCGTGCTCGCCGTTTCCACCTGTGTGCCGAGAATAAATCAAGGAGGCGTGTAAGATGCTTGACCGTCGCCTGATATCCATGGGTATGCATATGCCGCATGACGCTGACACCTACGAAAGAGGTGGCCGTTCTGCTCCCTAGGAGCACATCGTATGTGTTTTGGTCTAGAGCTATCAACTTTTGTTCGGCGGCGTCCAGAATCCTGGCAACAACAACGCTAGCATCCTTCGAGAAGGACGCATATCCAAGAATTTGTAACAGCGTTTGGAACTGATATGCCTTCTCAATTCCGCTCGAGACGTCGAGAAATGTCATGACCACTCGTAGCAATAACGCTGTTAAATCATGCTCAGCGAACCAGCCGGCCGAGAATATTAAAAGAGCCGCTTGAAGGTGAGGGGGTGCTGCTGGAAAGTGGTAATATGCCAGGGATAAAGCAGCTTTAGTCTCATCTGGGCGGACGACCTTGTAACACAGTAGATAGAGGACAAGCCAGGAGGGGGGCTGGAGCAAACTGACAACAGGTGTACGCTTTGGGCCTGCAAGTATATCCAAAGATGGAATGATGACACCTAGGTTTTCCATTCGCTTCATGGCAACGCCAATAGTAGGCGCAATGAGGACTGGTCTCCATTGCACGAGCTCCGCCGCAGTTACCCTTGAGCGATGCATGTAGTGTTCGGGCACAGCCGACAAGGGATTGCGTGCAAGCGCGTTAAGCAGGTTAAAGATGGAATCGTTAGACTTTCTGCCATAACGCTGCGATATACGAAAGACTCTGCGGAGAAGGAGTGCATGGTCACCAGAACCTAGGCCATGTGGAGCAGCGATGGACGCGAGGGGGCGAGAGGATGTCGTTGTCGAATGGCGACGGAGTATTCTAAACGCCACATTCATTCATCTGACACAATAGTACACAGGAGTCAACGCATGAGATGAGCGTACACGACATACCAGCAGCTCCTTCAGCTTGTCGGGCAATGGTTGGAACAAGAATCGAACCGGCGCGGAGAGCCCGCCAGCCACGCGCCAAGCACACCCAAACAGTCGTCTTTGTCCGGAGAACTCCGCCGTGAACTCCGCTGTCTCAAGAGTTGAACACCTCCATCGTGGTTCTGCCAACGGCGTCATCATCAACGGGCGGTTTTCTTCGACAGAGACAATGCCTCGTATTCTGTTTGTGAGCGGATTCCATCCGAACACGCGTGCCCGCGACCTTGCCTACGAATTCGAGCGGTCAGTGCCTTGTTTGCATCGCCTTCGCAATTTTAACGCTGAATTTTCTGGCCAGGTTTGGTCCCCTGGTGCGCTGCGATGTCCCCGCGCCGCGTAACCCGCATGCAAACTCAAATCCGTGAGTGTGGATTCTTGAATACTTTACCATTATCCCCAGTCAAGTGGCCTCGAACGTCCGCTGCCCACACCCACGCGTGATTTTACCGAGCTGTAATCCCCCGCTGTCGAACGTCGAGCCAAAGCCACGAACGAATCTGGTTGTGGACCGCGGAGCGTCGTCTTCACGAAGCGCAACTCCTTTCGATCGTTCGATATACCGCATTCCGCCCGAAATATCCTCGCTCAACGTGCCCCTTCGAACCCTCTCGCAGTTACGCATTTGTTGAGTTCCGAAGTCAGCGTGATGCTGAAGATGCCTATTACGATATGTGAGTCAGTTATCTCGCTCACTCCGATCGCTACCTCAATATCAGCGTCCCTAGGCACGGGAGGCATTTCGAGGGGTCGCGCCTGAGTATCCAAGTGAGTGGATTCTGACCACCTGAATTTTGACCAGTATTGAAGCCATTACGTCTATTCTTAGTGGGCGAAGAACCCTCCGTCATCCGTGTGGCGATACGAGAGGAGGTCTCCGCCTCCCCGACGTGATCGCGACCGCTCTCGTAGCCCCCGTCGTCGCAGCGACCGGGACAGAGGTGACCGAGATCGCGACCGTGACCGTGACCGGGACAGGGACAGAGACAGGGAGCCTCGCGACCGCGACCGCGATGAACGCGACAGAGATGGCGACAGGGACAGAGACAGGAGGAGACGAAGCAGGTCCCCTGACAGGCGTCGTAGCCCTACACCGGAAAAGCGTCGGGATGACCGAGCGAGGACCCCCCCTCCTCCTCCTGTGGAGGAGGCAAAAAAGGATGAAGACAGAGCTAAAACTCCGCCTCGTGATCACTAGACCGGTTTTATGTCTAAACTATGTCTGCATGAATGATGTCAGGCTTGATACGCTACTTTTCATGGTGTATACTTAACGGTGTGAAAAATCATCATATTATTATGCCGCCGCATGTTAGTTCAATGCTATCAGAGTGCTCGTTATAATTGCGTGTTCGACGGAATTCATCCCTGAGCTTTTAGCGTCCGCGGTTGTGCTGTGACGCGTGCCCACTGCAGGGTGGCACTTTCCACGATACACGATGCATGATGCCACCTTCGTGCGCTTGAACTACCTTCGACTATGTCTTTGCAGACCGATGTTCGAATCCCGACGGTCGACGATCTGCGGGTATGAATACCCTTGAATTCAGCAGCAAACCTATACTGATCGTCTGAACAACAGGTCAAGCTATGTTTTATCTGTCGAGAAGAGGAGCGCTTTGACAGTGCGTATTTGCCATCGTGGCCTAGCTCATTTTACCGAACTATGCTTAGATATCGAAGAACCTCAACGAGCATGGACACATCCGTGCTCGTGCACCCTTGTTGCTCATGAGTCATGTCTACTCCAGTGGATAAAGGCCGCACAGCAAGACGCATCTCGCGCAAAGAATGCTCTGAAATGCCCTCAATGTGGCTCATCCTATGAGCTCGAGAGTGACAATCCGTTCATTTTGAGACTACTGGACAACGTCAATACAAGTCTGTCAATAGTTGGAAAGATTGTCAGCGCTGCTGGATTAGTAGGGATTGTGATCTCGTTTGGGTTTGGTATGTAGCGTTATATTGGTGCATCTTGAGGTTCGACCTTCTTCGCAGGCATCTACATAGTCTGTACCTCTTATGGTGCGTATGCAGTGCGGGAATTTTTGGGAAGAGACATGTGCGTATTACTTAGCTTGCCCATTATCTTCCTGTTGAACTACTTCGTAGGTATAATCTTCTCCTCACCGACGATCCGAGCAATTGGCCATGGCATGCATACATCAATTTACCTATGATACCATTCAGTCTCATCTTCTCTCGTTCCCGTTTCTTTGACATCCTACCAGTCGTTCCTCTTTTCCTTGCCTGGCCATCATCGCCGCCAGTATCTTCAGTAGAGGGTTTCATGAACTCTCGTTGGAACCGTGTGGGGAATAGGAGTGCCACTTATCCTTCTGCGCCTCTGCTCACTTGGCCACCGTCTCCAATTGTCGTAACAGTGCTGTTCCCTGTGCTGACAGGATTCTATCGGCGCGCATTTGCCAAGTTGAAGCACTGGCTGATGGATACTGAACCAGGCCCGCATCGCCCTCTGCGCGAAGTGATATGGGATCTAGGGGGTGATGGTCCGGTACCCCTCCGTGCTCGCGTTGGTGTTAATATTGAACCTGCCCCAGAACAGCGTCGCGTGAACGCTGGTCAGCAGAGGGTGCCTCAAGGACAGCAAGGGCAAGGGCAAGAGCAAGCTGGCGATGCCCAGGCGGATGCCGACGCAGACAATGACGATCCTGCTATCGTGGCCGAGCGAACGCTGCGCATTACCAACGCATCGCTGGGACGATTCATTGGCGGCGCACTCGTAATGCCTGCTATCTCCAACTACATGGGCGCAATTTTGCTCAGATTGTCGAAACACTCAGACATCTTACGTCGATTTTTAGCCATACGAACTCCCTTGCGCGGTGTCCCCGTGCCCCTAGGTGGATGGGTTGATACTCAACCTTGGAGTGATATGAGCTATGTGAAGCAACTCGGAATGGGTCTCAGGGTCGCCCTGAACCTCGTATGTGGCGGTACTCGGACTTGGCACGAAGCCGACCCGGTCTGGTAGGTGCTAAAGAATCTTGTTTTCACGGTTTCATACAATTATCTATTTTGTTACTTACAGGTGGCGAAACTCGATCGGTCTCGGGATCTTCATCGTCGTGAGTATATTGAATGTGTTGTGTTAAACCAGTGGCCGCTCACATATATCATGGCACAGGCTAAAGACTGCATCAAATTACTTCATCTCTATCTTGCCAAGCGTGAGCTTGAGACCCGCCGGGTGAAGAGTCGTTCATTTGCCGGTGTGGATTTCAAGGAACTAGATCTTATAACCCCTGTAAAATAGACTCGGAGTATTTCATGGCCAATCTCTGTCTTACGTCATCTGTTGCCGATGAAAACCCATCTCACTATTGTTACGAACTTGCTTTCATGCTACTTACTAGCCGTAATACTGACACCGAACTGAGAGCGGCATCCTCAGATCGGCCATCGGTCAAAACGACAAAGGGCTTCCAGTACAGTACTCTATTGCTACACGATGTACCCAGAGTTTGCATTCCCGAGGAACAGCAATAATAACTAGACAATCAATCAATCAACCTCGACCACAGTTCCGCGCTGAACACTACCCCAGCCTTAACATATGATCAGCAAGAGAGGGTGTTGAGGATATACGTCGCGACGTACCGACTAATCGCCAATGCTTCTCAATACGACGCGACAGAGCCACCTTCTCGCCCACTTCTGTGCAGGCCGGTGAAGTAAGCACAATTTTAGCTAGATCTGCCTTGACAGTGAGGACGCGGCCACCGGTGGAGGTAGAACCAATGTTTATGAGAAGGAGCTCGCCCTTGGTGAGTTTTGTGACTTTAGTCTGCTTCTTGTCCTCCGTCTTGACACCAAGCAGTCGTCGAAGCAAGAACAGACTGATTTCAAGCTCTACATTATGAAAATCAGGCCAATGCGGACAACGCAGCGACAGAAAAATCAGTGCATACCGCTGTAGATTTGAGGGAGCTTGCCGACAGCACCCAACACCTGGCCGACAAGACGATCCGCACGGCAAAGGGTGGGATCAATGCGAGTGCCTACACCAATCAAACCGCCAGGTACAGCGAATTGCAGGTGATTGCTCTCGGCGTGTAGAGAGACGATGCGACTGAAGATTGGTTTACACCTGTTCCGGCCCTGCTCATCCTTTGTGACAACGCCTGGCCGGATTTCCACTTCTTGGCCCAGATGCAGGACCCCCGTGAGGATGGAGCCACCGGCAACGCCGCCCTTTAATTCATCTACCTCTGCACCAGGCTTGTTGACATCGAAGGAACGTATGACAATTAGTCGCGGGTCGGTGGTAAAGTCGCGGACAGGGATGGGTATACGCTTAACAATGTATTCATTGACGGCATCGATGTTATATTTTAATTGAGCGGATATGGGGACGATGGGTGAAGATTCAGCCACAGTGCCTAGGATCAACTCGTCAAGAAAAGTGAAATCACCGTCCATAGCTAGTTGATGTACCTTTGACGAATGCAGAGATGCTCTTCATGTGCTCCAGTGCTGCTGCTTCTTTGATCAGGTCGACTTTATTCTGCAAAATGATGATATTTTCAAGCTTCATGATTTCCACGGCGGCCAGATGCTCTGATGTTTGTGGTTGGGGGCATGTCTCATTACCAGCAATGAGGAGAAGCGCAGCGTCCATAACTGCGGCACCGTTGAGCATGGTAGCCATCAAAATGTCGTGACCGGGACAGTCAACAAACGAAACATGGCGGATCAGCTTCATGCGGTGCCCGCATCCAGGTCGCTCGCAAGGCGGATTGTCCTCTTTATCGGAGCGATACGATCGGTAACAGCCTGGTCTAGGACAGGCCTCATTCTCACACTTGTAGATCTATGAAGACCACCCGTAAAGAAACGGAAGATACGATATGAGAATAGAGCCTGCCTTCGCATTTGCATAGCCCAGCTTGATGGTGATATTTCTAACGAGTTCATTTTTGAATCGGACAGTCATGACACCGGAGATGGCTTTTACGACCGTTGATTTTCCGTGCGCGACATGTCCAATAGTGCCTACGATGCAAAATTAGCCGGCTGAATGGAAGCTGCTAAGGTGCTTTAGTACTGACCTAGATTGATTGTGGCCTATAAATGTGCATTAGAAATGAGGGTATCATCTAGAATGGATCTGACCTGTTTTGAGATGACCTCTGGGGACAGAGGAGTCAATTTGGATGGATCGATGTCGACCTTTGCGATGACTTCTTCTTCCGCATCACTTTCCTCGGCTTCGCTATCCGAGCCATCGTGCAACTTCTGCGCTGTTTCGTCTCCGGGCATAATGGGCTCTCGGCGGAGGAGAGAGAGAATGAGAAGGTAGGTAAAGAGTGTTGCCCTTCGAGCTGCAGGCGAGTACCGATCGTAAGAGTCAAAGAGTCAATCTAGTCACGAGCCATCGAGATATTATCGCCATTCGGGTTTGCAGTTATTTATTTGTATAAGCACGATTTCAAATCTGGTTATTTAACATGAGAAGATGAGTATCTATCACTACGTCATCGAGAGGGCCATGGATATATGATGTCCTGCCAGTGACTCCATGTTACACGTCCCGTCTTTCGCACGTAATTCCAAACTTCAACGCGTCAATACAGCACCTAGAGAGCCAGAACATGTCCTTGGGAGAGGGTGCATTCACCAAGTTGCAGTCTACACTGTTGAGTTAACGCTACTCTCGTCTTCAGCCGACGCGAAATTTCCGGGACAATACAGTCCTACTACTACTCCTCCTTCACCCACCCGCGAAAATCCAGGACAGGTGAGGAGTAGTTAGGTTAGCATGGTGTTCAGTGCTCAAGCTTCTTACATAGGTATATCCCAAAACAGATCCCAAAGGTACGACTACTGCTTGCTGTTCATCTTCGAACCTTGGATGAATGTCGTGTATTGAATCTGATGGTGTCTATAGCAGCGCCCGCGGAAACGATTCCTGGCACGGGCGGAGAACATGCTCCTCCATTTGAGAACTTAATCGGGAACCCCTACGCTTTTGACAGTTCCTTGGACAAACTGGATAGCTCCCTGTCAGATATCATCACCATTATCAAGGGCGAGACGTCCAGGGTGGGCACTTCAGGTGAGACTGAGGTTTTGCTCCGCAAGTTCAGCGGCTGGAGGCACGAACTCTTCGCCTTGCGGTCTGGACGTACGAAAGTTGTGGACAGAGGTCACGATGAAACTCCCGCACAAGGCGGAATGTTTACGGATTAAGTCATGCGCACATTGTAGCCCTTACTGTAACATCAAATTTCATTCCATCTCCGAGATGAGAAAATCCTGGGATTGCCACCCAATTAATGTCGAGGCTGAATCGTGCCCCTGCGGTAGACTACATATGCAAATGGAACGGACCTAATACAGCAACAATTTGATATCAGTGAGAACACACAAACCAAACATACGTCATGAAGGGCATAAAGAGCATGAAAGTCTAAAAATCATATAAAGTGAACAAAAACCTAAGCTGTGACAGATAGGAAGTCATTATCTTGAATCAGAGTATAGGGCAAGGGCTCGTTGTATCGTCTCTGTGTCCAGCCCGCGCAGCTTGAGACAGCGTTGGAACAGCTTCTTGTCCAGTGGATACTGTACTCGAGATGCGAGATGTTGTGACGCCACGAATGACCTCACGACACTCGCAACTAGTCGTTGCTTGTGCACATTGATCAGCGGCTCTAGTTGTATGGAACGGGGGAGGGGCGTCAACGTAGAGAACACCTCTGGATGTGCGAGGGGCTCGAAAGCGTTGGTGATGGGGTTAATCCCGACGGGCTCATGCGGCGCGGTTGGGTCGACCAAGTCAGGCAAAGGAATATACGGCTGAAGTTGCGATAAGTAGACGCCTGTATTAGGAACAATGGACGGTGTGAGCAAAAATAGTAAACACAGGAGCCTCACAAAGCATACCGAAAAAGGGTATACATGCGGGAGCAGACGGGGGCTTGCTCTCGGACACAGCTCTACCGCGAGTGGACTGACCATCGACGCTTGTTACGGATACGTCTTGCGAGTTTACCTCGATCGGCTTGGCTTCGGTAAGAGCCTCGATTGTACGTCGAATATAAGTGAAATGTCCCGCTCTTGATGTCCATGCGGTCAGATCCTTTAGCATACGCTCATCATGATGACGCATCCGGTGGGGGGCCTGCTGCATCGCCTTCGTTGCCCAGGGGCTGCGTAAGCCGGCGATGACAGCTACGAGCATATTGAAGTTTTTAAGCTCATAGGCTTTCTGATATGCGACCTTCAGCACCAGAGAATGGGTGTCTTAAACGTAGGCTTACCCAAGCTAATCGTATGAATTTGGTGAAGATACGTATTCGCTCGTTCGGATGTGTGAGCACAATCTCGGAGACTATGAAGTTGGCAATTAGGTTGAAGCGTCCGCGCACCACTGCAAGAGATCCCATATGGTGCCCTTCAGTCTTTAGTCGCGCTCTCTCCCTAAGAAACTGTGCCCAGTCAAGAATATTGGTCTCCTGGGCTGTGCCTACCGCGAGAGGTGTCATCAATTCTTCAAATCGAATACTGAGGAAAATTTCCCGGTCTATCATGCAGAAGTGTTGCATCAATGTCTCTGTCCGACAGCCTAAGATGAAGGAATGATGTGGCTTCATACTGCTGGCATGGACAAAACTATTGGATGTCGGTGCGTGCATTACCGGAAGTGGATGTGGAGTGTTGCTGGGAGGGGGTTGATCGCCTGGCAACGATGACTCAACACCACTTTCCACTATGTCGTTGTGGGTGGCATGTCCCACTACCTTCTCTTGCTCTTCGTTGAGAGCAGTAGTGCCGGATTGGGCACCTGGTTCACTTTGATCTGTCAAACCTGCATCGTGCACGTCAATTGAAGTGAGAATCATGGACACCACTGAATTGCCGGATATCGACGATGCATCATGAGACAGCGCATCTTTATCAAGTTCCTCTGGATCTCCTGGGATCCCAGGCCGTCCTGTGATTTCACCGTAATCATCTTCACTTGACGAGTCGTGGCCATGCTCCGTGCTGGGATTGCTAGCTGCCTGCCGTTTTTGAATGGATTGCACCCATTTATCCACTTTGGACTCTTTCGCACGCCTCTTTTCTTCATTGATTTGACCCTCCAAGCGACGAAGGGCAGCGTCAACATCGCCGTCCTCCTCTTCGTCGCTCAGCGAATCTACAAGTGCATTCATCTGCCACTGTTGAATTGTGGCGCCTAATTCTCCACCAACAGAGGAATTTGAGCCTCCAGACATCAGAGATTCGTGGGTGCGGAATCCCAGAGAGGAAACACTATCCATAGACTGACGGACAAATTCAAAATCGCGACGCGTAGGCAAGCGACGGTTGGGTCTTTTCAGACCAGGCGGAACAGAAAGGTCCAGGCTCTCATTTGATGACAAATCGGAGAACTCGAGTTCGTCGATTGAAACGATGTCTAGCCTTTCGTCGGACAGCATATTCACATTGCGGATGCCGGGCCCAGCATCGGAGCTCGATTCCCCTGAAAGTATGGTAAAGGTCGAAGTGCGTGTAGATGATGCATCGAGAGTGTCGGATGCAGGGTCCACCTCTGCCGAAGTGGTAGGCTTTTGCTCAGAAACGATTGGTGTGATCGGATCGGTAGGCGGTTCATTCTTGCGAGGGGCTTCACTTCCGCCATTCAGAGAACAGACATCCGCGGAAGGATGTCCCTCCATCAGCGTAGCTTGTGACATCTGAGTTTCGACCATCTTCAAATACTGTTCGACTCCTCCCCGCACTAGAAGCAAGTCACCAGTTTCGTTGGCTTCAACATCAAATGCGGATACATCAAGACAATTCAAAGCCGTCCTCCCGGTGGCGCGTGAATTCAATACTCGTTTCCATTGCCCAAGTCGTCCGATCGTGTTCACGAAGACGCGAGAAAGCGTATTATGAGGCATCGGCAGCAGAATGGGACTAGCCATAGCTGATGATCTTGTGCCAGTGGAGCCCTTCTTCCCGTACTGTAAGAATGCTAGGTGCAGTGGTTGACGAAGCGTCGCAAGATCCAGGGGACCAGTAGACAATCGTGAAGGAGATATGTGACGATCCATGTCTAATTCTCCACGCGAGACACGAACATCAAAATCCAAATTGATATCAGCGTCGTCTAGGCTAGCTTCTACTGATCGCTTGGGAGGCCTAGAAGAATGATCGCTGGTCATGTCGAAGGCGTGGACTTGGGGGACCGAACGTTCTAGCTTCTGCCCCGGGTGCTTGAAGATTCTCCGCAAGTACTGATCCTTGCATTCCAGGAACACCTTCTTCAACTGGCGCACGATTTTCTGCGACATCCATGTTAGTCGGCCTCAAACAAACAAGACGTCGTGAAAGCATACCATGGCATCCGTGTGCCTCTGTAAAATTGGGTCTCTTCCTAGTGAATTCAGCCAATTTGCAAATAGCAATCGCAGCTCTCGATTTGGCACGAAATCGGCGTCAAAAAACGAGACGGCCCAATGACGCACTGCTGTGAAGGTTCGGACACGAACTATGCGGCGTGCCGTCTCTTCGCGCAGGGAAGTTGGCTCTCCCAGTGCCCAATGAAAGCGACAGATGAGAAGGTGACCGAGATCCATGGCCGAGATGTATGTTCGATATGTGAGAAGGAAAACTAACAGCTCGTCGTAATCCAACTCGCTGGTCAGTTGCGCAATCCATCTCTCTATCGTGGCGGCAACTAGCATCTTCGTCGGGCAGTCTGAAGGAGAATCTGGAGGAGGAACACTGTCGCAATGACCCTTCTCCTTGGCTTGACCTTTTTCCTTGAGACTCCTCTTTTGAGACACGACAGAATTACCTGACGAAAGGTCTGTTATGCTGCTGCGAGAGAGATTTTCAGGTTCATCAAGGAGGTCAGGCTCCACCTCCCCCCATATGACGAATCGCGGGTCGTCACGAGGGGCAGCGCTTTCATCAGCCTTCAGGGATAACTTGATGGTTGTTTCTTCGTGAGTAGCAGATATTCGATCCAAAGCCGGCAATCCACGTGAGGTCTGTAATACGTCGAAAACTTCTGTGGAGTACGGAGAATGCATGGCTGTTTCTTCTAGAGGAAGGCCTATATCTTGAACGTCGTCGCGAGAAGTAGTCGCATTCGACGGGGAATAATGGGGCGTAGATGCCTCATCGTCCGCGGAAGGATGGAGGCGAGAACTGCCATACTGCGACGGTTGTGTCTGGGTATCTGCGCGAGCAGTCAATCCCGATTCGAAGGATTGCATCTCTCGAAGTCCGAGGGGCGATGCCAATTTCGAAATAGCCGGCCTCCATGAAGGAGAATCAAAAGCTACACCAGGGCCAAACGGCTGAATAATGATTTCTGGCGGTAGTCCGTTGGGGTGTGTAGATGAGCGGCTGTCCATAGATCGCAAACTTCGGACAGACGTCGTTGAGCCTTGCAACAAACGAGAAGTCGGGGCCCCTGACCACGCCATGACATCGGCGAAGATGTCAGCATACGGAACGTTTGTAGCATCAGTTACCGAGGACGGAGGTCGAAAAATGTCGGCACTTGAGACGCTGTGAGCATGGGGTCGACTAGTATTTGTTCCAGGCGCAGTAGAACCGCTGGAGACATCAACGCCGACGCCAAGCACATTAGGAATTGATCGCGTTTTTCTGAGTTTCCTCACGGGGGGTGAGCGACTACCGTCGGGAGTATGGGATCCATTTGTCGATAGCATGGTCCCATTCTTGAACACTGAGGAAGGAAGAAACGAGTGCACACTCATGCGGGAACGACGTCTGGTCTGAGGGGGGTACGGATGAGATACCTGGGAACTAGGAACTGTGATATTCGACCATTTAGTGCGTAGTTCAGCATCTTCAGCAGAGGCTGCTGGTGCGGAGAGCTCCCGAAGTCTGAATCAAGCCTTCATCAGCAAAACAAAAAAGTTCAACACTGCCAGAACTTACCCCACACGATACATTTGCTTCCCGTGTTGATTTACGAAGGCAGTAATGGCGTAAGGAGATCGAAGCTCCTTACCAACACCAATATATTGATCATAACGTCGTTTCAATTCTCGAGCAGCAGCGCCGGAAGATGTCTCCACAAATGCTCCGTCAGCTGTTAGAGTTAGATTGTTCATGTTCTATTCGATCAAAAACTATTGAGGTACACGTACGCGCAATAGAAATGTCGGCTGAAGCTACCTCTGGCGGCAACTCGAGATTGAATCCAAAGATATCCTCTTCTTGGGCAAGTTGTGAGCGCTGGGGGTTCTGCGCCATGGAAGGTGCTGCAATCAGAGTTGTGAACTCTGACGAAGGATTTTGAAGTCCTGGTGTCAGGGAGATGTGCTCCATATCGAGGCTTTCCGAAGAATGATATGAAGTTGTGTGTCGCGTCGTATGCACAGTGGAGACCGATAGAGAAAACAAGGTTGGACTAGAGGAATAGGAGGGGTCTCCTCTGGGCAATGAGGAGCTCATAGATCAAGGACAGTCAATGGCGTTGCCCATAAGCGCATGATAACAAGCTCGTAGCAGCCAGTAAGCCCAGAATACTCAGTACCAGTGTGAATGATGAAGACAGCTCTGTATGCGAGGGCAGTTACTAGGCTGAATTAGTAGATAGCCTGCGGTAGGGTCCACCAACCTTGTCAGCTTCCTGGCGAGACGTAGAGACGGTCGTAAGGGAAAAGGTCTACAATGAGTCGCACTAAGTACGCGTGCGCGGCGAGCTCTGAAGACGGTTCGTGATCGCGATTCGGACGCGAGCTACTAGTACTTATGCCGAGCTCTAGAACCGCAATCATACCGATTAGCATGGTGATGCTTACATAAGCCACACAATGTGAATTTGACGATCTATTCGTACTATTGCTAAGCGTACTGCATCATATAACCATTGCTCATAGTCACCATGCCCCTTGTTGGAGCAGCAGACGATCATCACAGCGACCTTAGTGAGTCGTGCGGTAGCAGGCGCACGCATCATATACATTTAAAACACTACAGCGCTTAGTTCATCTGCTCAATCATACAACATCGTCGTCCCACTTCTCGCCGATTAAGTCCACCAACTGCATTATTTAAAGCTTAGGCGATTCGATAAACGAGACGCCCTGTATTGGAGATGTCTGAGAAATCATATACGTATTGCTGAAGTCAATACACACCTTCTCTATATTGCTTTCGAGATCGGGCAAGGCGGCCTGGATAAGCGACTGCTCGAACTCTGTAAGATTACCAAGAGAGTGCAGCTTGGCAACACCCTCAGGCTGTGCAACTTTATCAGTCTATCACAGACTAGACCTTTCTCTCAAGCACTCACCCCAAGCTCGACAGGAACCGAGAAAAAGTCAAGTTCCTTCCCAATTACTTTCTTGAGCGAGTCCCCACCCGCTTTGTCACACGAGAGATGGACAAAACTCGGGGATATGATTCCCTTCTCACCATTCAGGGCCCTGAGTACTTTCCCTGCAAACTCCGCACCAGCATATGCCATCGAAAGGGTCGCAGACCCAGCACCGTCCTTCGCCTTGACGACCTCATCTCCCCCAAACTGAACTCTGGTGGTAAGAGCTTGCAGGTCTGATGGAGAGAATCCAGCAGGAAGAGGATGCGATGACTGCGAAAACAACGGCACAATCTGGGATCGATGAATTAGTAGATCTCACATGGTCTGAGTAGGTGGCACAGATACCGTAACGCCGCTATGTCCACCAACGACGGGGATTGTGACAGAGGAAGCCAGAGAAAGATCACCGAGGACTTCAGAGACGAAGGTTGAAGCGCGAACGACATCTAAAGTAGTTACACCAAAGAGCCTTTTGGGGAAGAAGTCAAAAAAGAGCCAGAGTAGAGTAGGGCGTTTGATCACCACGCACTTCTTGGCATCGAAAACGCCATGTTTCTTGAGAACTTCGGCAACAATTGGAACGGTAGAGTTGACAGGGTTGGAAATCACCAATACCGCCGCTTTGGGAGCAGCCGTTGCAATTCCAGTCGCAAGATCGCGAACGATCCCAGCATTGATCTGCACCTATGAGCACTGGAATAACGCGGGTGTAATGGAACCTCACCTTGAATAGATCATCCCTTGAGAGGCATGGTCGTTAGCTAGGATCTGGAACAAAACAAACTGCGACATGACCCTGACCTCGTCATCTGGGGCCCTGTCAGTTGCTGTAAAATCAGGATGAAGTATCGCACTTACGCCAGGCTTGCGAGGTACTCCGGCAGGAATCACAACAATGTCGGCACCCGTCAGCGCCTTCTTAAGACCATCATCTGGAGGCAGGTAGCCAGAAACTTTGGCGGGGGTAGCGATATGCGACAAATCAGCTGCAACACCAGGGGTGTTCACAATATCGAACAAGGCCAGCTAGCAAGAGTCAGGACATGAAATTGAACAGCATTTACGGACACACCTCCTTGACGAGTGGATTGGACTTGAGCAGAAGCGCTAAAGGTTGACCAATGCCACCAGCAGCCCCGAGGACGACGGCCTTATACATGCTGAAAGTTGAGTAGTAGGATCAAAGCTAAGCGGGGTCTCAGAGAACGGCCAGGTGAGTCCCAGTGCAGGGTGAACGTGAGATGACTTTATGAGAGATAAATTCGGCCGAGCGCGCTCGTTGTCGCTTATTTGTTTGATCCGATCGATTCCCATGCGGGGTCTGGGGTCTCGGAGTGACCGCCCGTCAAAGTGCGCATTCAGGCGATTGAACTCGTCTCTCACAGGTTCAGTCGTCGCTCCTCAAAGTCGACTACTTTGTATGGAGCTGAGGTGCATGTAGCAGACGAGGCGACCAAGTCGTGTTCGGGCATGCAGGAATAGCATCACTGTGTCTCCTAAAGTCACAATGCTAAATGTACAGGCAAGGGGCGAGACTTCCCAAGATGGCTCCTCCCGCTGCACGAGATCTGCAGCGCGCTCTGCTGCGACGGTCGTCATCCATGTGGCATTGCTGAAAGTCGCAAGGGCCAGTGATGACCACCGATGACTCATCAGATCCGCTATCGACTTTCGCAACCGTTTCATCCTCATTTCTCTATGAAGTTCTTAGGCGTGTCACTCGCGGGGGTTTCCCGGCTAACGTATCATAGAATCGCCCTCTTTCTAGTCATATTCGAATTCCACTTACCAGCCGACGCATCACACATCCACTGTGCGAGATCACGGTCCCACCATCGCCAAATTGCCAAAGGTAGTCAGCCGAACATCCACCGGAAACTGGTCGCGAGAGATCGCATTCGATCTACAACCACATGGCCGGATTTTATATGCAAAGAACATAGTAAAGAAATATAGAAGAGAAGAAGACGAAAGTGGATCAACCAGAGGCTGCTGATCTGCCGTGTTCGTTACCTTCGGAAGATGATCTTAAATGCTCTGCTAATATTCTGAAACGTTTGGATCTGTTATGTAAACATCGTTGGCTCACAGCGGCCGCAATAGCGCTAGCAAGCAAGAGGTCCTTCATCCCGTCAGTGCCTGACGCTCACTGTCATGATAGTATGCACATCATTTCCTTGCGCTAACGCGCCTCAGTGACTATAGACTCACATAGCTACGAGCGAGATGTCATCAATATGAGAAGACTATACAGGATGCTATCTTGTAAACAAGATTGACCATCTTCGTAAGTAGACGACATGACCCTACGCTCAGCAGGTTCCAATACCAAGATCACGGAGGAGGATGATTGCCGCTTTCTCACCAATGGCAATAGCAGTCGAGTATGTGTTCTGTCCATTTTTGTTAGCAATTGTGGCTATCTAACATAGCGAATACTCACGGATGACACATTGGCTGGCGCAATGGACATGTCTAAGGAGGATTACACATCTGAGGGAGCGAAGAAAGAATATGGGCAATTACCTGCAACTTTGAGGTTTTCAACACCATAGACGTTCAAATTTGAATCGACAACCCCGCCGCTTTCTCGCGCTTTCATGGCGCATGTACCGAGCTTTGTGACAGGGAGTTAGACCGACGAACAGAGAGTTCGGGTCTAAGCTTACATGATGCCAAGCTGTAGCAACGACTCTGCGCGAGTAGACATCTATCGCTTGGTCATCCTCAGCCGTATACTCGATATCTGGGTCAGAGATGGTCGCAGGGTATACATCAGAACGACAGGTAGCGGCGCTGTTGTCCGGGAATGCGGGATGATTTGGGACATATTCTCCCCTGTATGAAGGCATGCGACGTGCAAGTTCCCTATTGAGTTTGTATGCCCATCTCAGGAGAGCAACGTCACCGGCGCTGGAAGTGGGGTATGGACATGAATGATAATCTGAGTGGCATAGAACATGTAACGCACTGTGAGAGATACTTGGGATCGAAATCTGGAGGTGCAGCCGCATCACTCGCTGAGGTAATATGCACATGGCCTATGGATCTAGGATAATTCAGATAATATACTACAGTCGAATATTTTGCTGGAGGCACAGTAGAAAGATCGCCAACAAAGCTGTAGGAATACTCAACTCGTATGAGCCTCAACACTCGAACGAGCATTTTATAATGACGCACAAACTGGCAGGACCGAGCCACATGGGGGGTTTATCTGGAGCGTTTGCGAAGTAGTCCATCCAATGTTGTTGAAAATCAGGCCCTATTTTCCGGAGTTCATTCTTATCAGGTCGCAATTTCACACCTGCGTCAATGCCACTTTATGTGCCTGTTTAGTTTGTGAAAGGTCATTGCTCAGTTATAGCTCACTTGTGCGCGATCAATCCGGACCCATCTTTGATCCATTGCGTCGTCCATTCTGAATGATTCACGTAAGTCTGATGGATTGCGTCATAAATACAATTACTTGCTTTCAATTTCATCCTTGTCGTTTCGTACAATGCCATCCAACGTTTCCGCCTTCTGATCAACGTGGTAAGGAACAAACATGACGTTGTGATCTGCGATACTGAAATTCAGCATGGTGAACACTGATCACCGGAGAGCATGACTCGATGGACCTTGGAAATTTTCTCCGACCCCAGAGAGGTCTACAATGGTCTCAATGCCTAGACTCTGTAGAAGATCCTTGGAGCCGATCCCGGACCGCTCCAGTATTGCAGGAGATCCAAACGCTCCTGCAGAGATCACCACCATCCGTCGCGCATGAGCAATGCGTATTTCTTGCATCGCATCGGGCCGCAATTGCGGATTAGACGAATATTCGATGCCAACAGCCTTTTTTCCACTGTACACAGTAAATGATACTTCAAGCGCTGCGCCAGCCGGAGCGCACTCACTCAAATATGACACGCTTCACTAGATATCCCGTTTCTATCTGGATGTTACGACAATCTTGCTGAAAAATGTAGTGATGTGGAATGTCAGATCGCCTTCCGTTCTGGGCGCCAATGTATCTACAGAATTTGATCAGAATGTTCTTACGGACCCGCGCAATAATCCGCGTACTTTTGCCATCGCTTCAGTAGGGTTATGAGTTGCAATGTCATGTAATTATTTTCGGAGGATAGCTCACCCCATACGCATTGATATCACCAACTCGCATTCCATTAGGATCGTCTGTGGATGATCGCGTCTTGTCATATTTTGCCGCAGTACTGAGGAACTCTTGACCCCATGTCGTGAAGAAACCCCCATATGAAACTCGAAGAGGTCCGGAATATCCGTGTGTGTCTTTCCCATCCTCTATCTCGTATGTTTCTGACTATAGATCGTAATACGAATGAGAAACATTGTTCATAGGCCAAAAGTATCCACTGGACCTTCTTCAACAGAGGAATGAGATCCTTGGAACTCCACCCGGGATTTCCATACACGGTCTCCCAGTCGTCGTAATCCGACGGAGAGGGACGAGTATACATCATGTCTAAATACATTGAGTGAAAGTGCATATCATTCACTTGAAGATCGAATGGGCTTACAGTTGACGCTGGATCCCCCACCCAAGCATCGACCACAGGGGACAATGGGAGACCTCCCTCCGAGGTCGTCGCTTTCCTTTCCAACATAGCATTTAAGAGTAATGCTGTCCGGTGACCCGTGGGAGAAGCAACGAACAGGCTGGATGTGCGTCAATTCTTCACGGGTGGGCGGTCCAGCTTCAACGACAAGTATGGTCAAAGTGCGATCCGCCAGCGCCAGACGGCCAGCAATGATACAACCACTTGTGCCACCTGTATCAGACATATCATAAGCCACCAAGTTGCGCTGGCCTGGCATACGCACCTCCGGCAATGATAACGTCTACTTCAAACTGATTGGGCATGTTGTAGTTACAGAATATTGAGAACGGAGCAATCTGATAGTAGAAGTAGGGGAACTGAGGGTGTGTGAAGCGGGGCCCTTCGTCCACGCTCTCTTTAACTTGTGGATTCAATGCACCAGGGACCCCACGATGGGCCTCACGACAGTTCCGAGATGGAGATAACAAAGAATGCCATCTTTGGTGAACGCTCAGAACGACGTCTTCTATCAGTGATGTAGCATAGTGATAGACCGAGCAAATTTGCAGAGTTTGGTCGTCCGACTGTCACTTTGATGACATAGTAGCCGCAGTGCAATCCCTAATCGCTTCGCGCTTCAAGAAAAACACAAATAGTTCCCTTCGTGCTCCCCTCGGTCGCACGAATCTAAATGAGCGTCAGTAGGCGGGTATAAGTATCATTCACTTCCATCATTTACGCAGCTGTAAGAGGGCACGCCTTGAGGCCGGCGCCATGGTCAAAACTCGGAGCGCTTGGCCGAATCCCAGCACAGAGACTGGCCCAAACGCCATACATATCGCGTCACTACTGCTGGGGTCGGACTCTATCGGACTCTAGCTTGGCTCATCGCCATAATGTCCGCCGGATTGAGGAACCAGAGCTGATTTTGCGAATTAACTGCAACCCAAGGCGCGAGTTCAACACAGCTTAAGGATACGTACACTGGGCTACCGACAAGATCACCGTTTTGGGGTAAAAGCAGGGCGTCTGTGGTACAGACGCCTGCTTACACCCCAGTCGGTTGTATCACTGTAAGCCTGAAGCTGACGAAGGAAAGCGCTTCGCCCCGTGCCTGACTCGAACCTCTCCTCGGAATGCAGTCGGAGCCGCCTGCGGCATGAGGCTGCTGACACTGAAGCTTCATTAGCCTCGAAACTTGCAGACCACGTGAATAATTTTCACAGGACTATCGAATCAGGACAATGGCATGCGATAACAGAATAAGCCTTGTTGAACCTCCGCGACCCTCACTCACCTATATGTAATATGCGGCCCAAGTCCCAGGCATACAGGCATACTGTGTGGAGTCTCGCGCATAGTGCTCGAGTGAAACTCAGAAAGTGTACACGTAAACGTTTTGATTGTAGAAATGCCTCTACCATGCGTCTAGCACATTCCCCCAATGCCGAGCTCTCGCATAACGATCTCAGATGCCTTCTCGCCAACGACCAATGCGGTGGAGTATGTGTTCTAATCCCAATTAATTGCTGCTCATGAGGGCGAAGAAAAGCGACTACGTACTGCAGAAACATTTGCCGGAGCGATTGACAGATCTAGCAAACGATGTATTGAGCCCTATAAAAGTTCAGGACAGGAGAACAGGATTACCGGCAACCTTGAGCCCTTCGACACCATATACATCAAGGTTCGAATCAACTACCCCGCCTTTATCGCGTGGTATCATTGCACATGTACCCAACTAGTGGGGCATAGATCAGGTGTTCCGGAATAATAGTATCGTGTCAAATAGCTTACTGAATGCCAAGTAGTCGCAACAACTTTTCGAATATATTCATCAATTGCCCGGTCGTCCTCCGTCGTATAGTCAATGTTCGGATCTGATACGTTTATGGGGTGTCTTTGAGATTGACAAGCCGCCGGGCTGTCGCACGAGAATGTGGGGTGGCTGGGGGCGAATTCTCCTCTGTAAGAAGGCATGCGTCGCGCAAGCTCTCGACCATGTTTATACCCCCATCTCAGAAGGGCAATATCTCCAGGCCTTTGGAACGGAACCGCATAAATATCAGCACAAAAAGGCTGCGAATACACAGTATGCGTACTGCACGAGGAAGTTCGGATCAAAGTCTGGAGGGGCGGTCATGTCATCCGCAGAGGTGGCATGAATATGGCCCACAGAATCAGGGTAATGTAAGAAACAACCAATCGAGCAGTACTTCCCCGGGAGAAATAAGGAAGGATCACCCATATACCTGCCGGCACTCGTCAGTCAGACGCTTCAGAGACCTAACGAATATGAATATCATACAGAGCGTAACAACCAAGCCACATCACAGGTTTATCTGGTGCATTGGCGAAATATTCTGTCCACCGTTGTTCGAACTCGGGGCCTAACTGGTCCAATTCTTCCTCTAACGGGCGTAGCTTGACTCCCCCATCGATCCCACTTGTAGTTTTCAGATATGAGCCAATCCCCGAGCATCGAGTTGTGACTTACTTATGCGACATCAATCCTGATCCATCCTTAGTCCACTGTGCGCTCCATTCTGTGTAATGTGATACGTCCTCAAAGCGATGTCACGCGAATCGGAGGACACACTCACTTTCGAGTTCAGCCTCATCGTTCTGAACGATCCCATCTAACGTCTCCACCTCTTGATCAACATTATAAGGAACAAACAGGACATTGTGGTCTATGATGGATACATGGTGAGCAGTGGAATAATGCACGTTGGAAATCAAAGAGGGGAGACCTTGATAATTTTCACCAACACCAGGAAGGTCAACAATGGTCTCGATACCAAGCGAGTGAAGAAGTACCCCGGAACCTATGCCAGACCGTTCCAAGATAGTGGGTGATGCGAGCGCACCCGCAGAAACTATTACCATCTGCCGTGCGCGAGCAGAATGCACCTTGTGAGTAACGGCCGCATGTAGCCTTGGATTAGGTAGGTATTCAACGCCGACTGCCCGATTACCTCTATTGAAGAGTAGTCAATATATATCATGTTTCTAGGATTGCACACTCAGACTGACTCGAAGAGAACACGTTTCACCAGATGACCTGTTCGTATCGTGAGATTTCTGAATTCCTTTTGGAAGAGGTAATGATGCGGTACGTCGGAACGCCGTCCGTTCTCCGCGCCAATGTACCTGAATGATGTGTTTACTGATCGATACAGGCTGATGTCAAGCTGATGTAGTACGTACTTCTCCCATCGCTGAAGCAGTGTTTTTGTCAGTAATAAATCAATAAGTGTCTGACATAACTCACTCCATAAGCATTAATATCTTGGGGTCGCATTCCGTTAGGGTCATTTGTTGAGATTCGCTTCTTGTCGTAACGGGATGCAATGTTCAGAAACTCTTGGCCCCATGTTGTGAAATGGCCGCCATACGAAACTTGAATTGGACCCGAATATCCATGCGTTTCCCTGTCATTTTCTACTTGATATGTCTCCATCTACATGAAACCCTTCAACACCTGAACATTTACGACACGAATGACTGTCCTGGCCTTCTGAAACAGAGGAAGAAGGTCTTTTGATCCCCAGCCCGTGTTCCCGTAGACGGTTTCCCAATCATCGAAATCCGATTTGGATGGACGGTTGTACATCATAACTAGATGCCGTTGGATGAGGCTCATGGTATGAATTAAATTAATTAACGAAATGCGCACAATTTACGCTGGAGCCCCCACCGAGGCATTCGCCGCAGGGCACCACAGGGCAACGCCCGCCGAGTTGCTCACACTTCCTTCCAACATAGCGTTTCATCGTGAGGCTCCCAGGAAGTGAGTGACTGAGAAAGCGAGCGGGTTGAATGTGTGGCAATTCTTCGCGAGTGGGTTGACCGGCTTCAATGACCAGAATTGTTAAGGTAGGGTCCGCCGTCGCCAGGCGTCCAGCGATGACACACCCTGCTGTCCCGCCTAGTACAATAGTAAGTAAAGCAGAAGTAGGGGACTCAAAAGCACGGACCACCGGCAACGATAATGTCTACCTCAAGCTCCTCCGTCTGACACGTCATAGTAGACTCTGAACGTCAATGATGTTGCGGGATGTGTACTATGTACCTGGGATCATCTAAATACTATTTGTGAATCTTATCATTGGTAATCCCACATCCAACTCTAACAATTCTAGACGCTATCTTCCATAACCCTGCAAGTACTTATCGTGAGGATGCAGACCTTATCGCTCAGCTATACGAGCTACTTACACTTGAATGGAGCTCTCGTGACACAGTGGTGACTGGAAGTGCGCTCTTAATAATCCCACGCCATCATCCACACAACTCGTCGATAAGGACGATGTACCAAACAACGCACCTGCAGTCCATAATACCCTCTGAAAGATTACTCATATGGATGCGCCATCCGTAATCCTGAATTTGGACTCGTTGATAGCAACTATCACTTCAATTATCTTGACATGTCTTTGAAAGACCAAAAGAGCGGTAAAGGACGGACGAATGGATCCAGTGCTATTATGATAAGACAAGGCGTACTGAAATTAAATGTTCATAAGTATCTTCGTTTACCTAGTGAATAACACCCGAACAGTCGTCGTGGAATACACTATGACGAGTCAAAATGTCATTCTAGGACACCCAACTCCTCGAGGATGATAGCTGCTGCCTTCTCTCCAATGACAATAGCCGTAGTACATGTATTCTGTTCAGTTTGTGTCAGAGATACAGTCAAAAACATCGCTGTAGATATTAAGACTTGGGAACTTACAGCAGAGACATTTCCAGGTGCAATTGACATATCTAAACACAATGCGTTCACGCGCAGTGACCCAAATCAGGTGTAGGGACACTTACCAGCCACTTTCAGTCCTTCCACGCCATAAACATTCAAACTTGAGTCTACAACACCACCATCCCCTCGTGGCTTCATAGCGCAGGTGCCCATCTACCAGGTGTTCTGCTAGTCAGTCTTACTTCCGTCACCGAGATCTTGCAACGCTCACAGAGTGCCAAATATTCGTGGACGTCTTTCGAATGTGCTCGTTGATAGCTCTATCATCATCCTCGGTGTATTTGATATTTGGGGCGGATATTGCAATGGGGGATTCATCCGAGTGGCAGACTGCCTGACTACCTTCCGAAAATTGAGGATGACCCGCGACAAACTCTCCCCGGTACAACGGCATACGACGAGCAATTTCTCTAGAAAACTTGTATCCCCATCTTAAAATAGCAACATCGTCTGGACTACTTCAGAGTCAATTGGATGGAACGGCGAAATAGCAGAGAACGGACCTGGTGAGAAATTTACAATCGAAGTCCATAGGAGCATCAATATCATCTGCAGAAGTGACGTGAATGTAGCCCCGGGATCCCGGATACTCGATGTGGTATCCCATGGAAAAGTATTTTCTCTCTGGGTCTATTGGGAGGCTGCCCATGTACCTAACAGCCAGACAGATGATTAGTCGAGATAATAGCGGGTCCCGCTGACCAAACGTACATGGAGACGGATCCAAGGAACATCACAGGTTTATCGGGAGCGTTGACGAAATATTCTTTCCACCTCTGTGAGAATTCTGGGCCGATAATTTCGAGCTCTGTGGACGAGGGCCGTAGTTTGGCGCCTGCATCGATCGAGCTGCACAAAGGAATATGAGCATTCATGCCATCGCCAATATAAAACGACTTGCTTATGAGCCATTAATCCCGAGCCATCAGTCAACCATTGCGCAGTCCACTCTACCAAATGCGAGTTCTTTTGTTAGCAAGGGGACCGCGAATATTCGACGATGGCGCGTACTTTCTACCTCAGCAGCGTCATTGCGTACAATACCATCCAATGTTTCAGCATTATTCGCAGCATGGTATGGTGTTAGAGTGACGATGTGATCTGCATAGATTTCTGAGCAATTGGAACCACGGGTACTTGACTGCCCATACCGACCTTGAAAATTCTCACCAACACCCGGTAGATCAACGACGGTACTGATGCCAAGCTTGTTCATCAGACGTTTTGCACCAATCCCAGAACGCTCGAGAAGTGCAGGAGACCCAAAGGGACCAGCAGACACAACAACTAATCGTCTACTACGCGCCAGATGCACATCCAGCGCTGCATCCGGCTGGAATCGAGGATTCGGAAGATACTCCACTCCGACAGCACGCCGACCTCTGGAGATAGAATTGGGTATCACACAGGAACCCCAAGTCTAATGTAGACCCTCACTCGAAAATAATGCGTTTGACGTGGTATCCAGTCACGACTTGTAAGTTAAGATAGTCGTGGCTGTAAATATAGCCATGAGCGACATCCGAACGTCTGCCTGTTTCACCATCTATGAACCTGCGAGGTTATGTTCACATGTAGCCACAAGTGTGAGCACTTGAGAGGATACATACTTTTGCCACCGCTGCATGCACTATAAATAACGTAAACATAATATACTGTGAGATAGATTCTCACCCCATACGCATTGATGCTACTTTCTCGCATTCCATTGAGGTCGTCGGTTTTGAGTCGCGTTTTGTCATATTTAGTGGCGACATCGAGGAATTGTTGGCCGACATTCGTAAACAACCCGCCGTAGGATATTTTTAGTGGTCCTGATGACCCATGTGTATCCGCATGCGACTCAACTTGGAACGTTTCCATCTATGAGAGGCGGTAAGGGCCAAAAGCAAACGATCAAGCACTTCACAAACCTTCTGAAAGAGAGGAATGAGATCTTTGGAACCCCATCCAGCATTGCCGTAACAATGCTCCCAATCGTCGAAATCAGACGCCGATGGGCGAGCATAAACCGCTGCTGTAGAGAGGTTAGCTCTGTCAAATGTGATTAGGAACATGCAACCTACCATTCACACTTGATCCTCCGCCAAAGCACTGACCACACGCAACCACGGGTGAACGAGATCCGAAGTCCTTGCTCTCTTTACCGACATGATATTTGATCGTAGTGCTATCCGGAACAAAGTGACTGGGGTAACGGGCAGGCTGGACGTGGGACAAGTCATCTCGAGTAGGGGGTCCTGCCTCGATAACGAGGATAGTAAGGGATGGATGCGCTGCTGCAAGACGACTGCCGATTACACAGCCACTAGTTCCACCTGTACACAGTAAGGATGCGACCGCAATTGGCAAGGGAATCAAATGATACGAGGGAGACTGACCTCCAGCAATGATTATGTCGACCGTCACCTCAGTCTTAGCTTTGTCCAACATTGATGAACTTTGGATCGGAAATCGAGGAGAAATGATCTAAGGAACTTGAATTCGCATTATGCTTTGAAAAAGTCTACTTATACTCTGCTGAGTGCATGCGGTGCAAGGCAAAGACAAGTGCTTATACAGTGAGTACGTTGTGAAACAGGGTACATGTCGGTGTTTTTGCGCAGCGCAGGATTCGCGTAACATGTGCGGGCCCGGTAGACTTGTAAACCAGTTTACGTTTAAGTGCACGTGAACAGATGCGATACACGTGCCTTGCCAAATTGAGGCGGAGAGTGAAAAGGCGTGTATGCGCGCGGCGAATGGAGCAGCGGAGTGTGAAACCCTACGTGCCGGGGACGAGGACCGACACCCAACGCCATGACACATCGCACCGGTGCATTGAAGTTTGATTGAAGCATCGCGGGACAAGACCAGATTTGCGACCGAGGTGTGTACTTAACAAATGTACCGTGGTTAATGTGATTGATGGCCCCTGTCCCCGTCTGTCTCAAAAGGTCTGCTTTATCTGTACGCAGCCTTCTTAATATTGCAATTCTCTCTTGTACATATATGCATACGCCAAATTCAAGCACGCACGGAACACGCCATCAGACAGGCGAATACTGAACTTGGATGTCTAGCGGCATATATACGCTCCAAACCGCACCCGGGAAACATCAAGAACATTGCCTTGTGAGCAAGGAAAGTTCAGTTCGGACATATTTGTAAGTATGGCATCCACTATTACCTCCGGAATCTTATCTCCGAGCTCGCGTTTTGCTATCATACACCGATGTTCAAATCCTTCAAGATGATAGTCGCAGCCTTTTCTCCGATTACCACAGCGGTGGAATAAGTATTCTTCTCAAAAATATTATTGACGAATTCCGCGAGCAGTAGATATCAACTTACGGCGGAGACATTTGCAGGCGCTATGGACATGTCTGAGAATGGAGATGCTCCTTAGCAAATAGGATGAGAGGGAGACACATAGAATCTTACCCGCAACTTTGAGTCGTTCAACGCCGTACACGTTTAATTGAGAGTCTACGACGCCTCCCATTTCACGCGCTTTCATCGCACAAGTCCCCATCTAGTACACAATGTGTTCAGTTTCGAGATCTGGAATGCTAAGCGCGTGCTTCACCGAATGCCAGATAGTCGTAACGCCGCTACGAGTGTATTCATCGATAGCTTTATTATCTTCCTCCATATACTGGATATTAGGATCGGAAACAGCGGTCGGAGAACCTTCAGGATGGCAAGCTGCCTGACTATTTTGGGGGAAGATTGGATGACCCGCGACGAACTCTCCGCGGTAGGATGGCATGCGCCGAGCAATCTCTCTGCAGAACTTGTATCCCCACCGGAGAAGGGCTACGTCATCTGCACTGTACGGTAATAAATGAAGTAGATGCATGGTATCAACTGAGCCCACACGCACCCGCTAAGATATCTCGGGTTGAAAGTAGGGGCGCCGTCCACATCGTGGGCAGAGTTGATATGAGTATAGCCTGCTGAATTCGGGTATTGGACATAGCATCCCATCGTGAGGTATTTTCTGCCAGGATCTGCGGGCTGACCGCCAAGATACCTGAGGATGAGCTATATTATCAGTCGAGCAATAATGCAGAAGCAACAATAAAACATGCATGGAAACAGGCCCCAACCACATAACAGGCTTGTCAGGGGCATGTGCAAAATACTCTGACCATCGCTGTGAGAATGCTGGACCAATAGCTTCGAGCTCCGCGGTAGAGGGTCGCAGCTTGACGCCCGCATCGATAGAACTGGTGTGAAAAGTGTGAGATTCATTCCAACGACATGACTGAGGGGAACCTTACTTGTGTGCTATGAATCCGGATCCATCTTTTTCCCACTGTGCCGTCCATTCTGACAATTCAATCAAATAAGTTCTAGTTGCTGAATTGCCGGGATAGACAAAGACGCACTTTCAATCTCAAGACTATCGCCTCGCATAAAATTATCGAGAGTTTCAGCATCTTCAGCTACATGATACTGGGCGAAAGTGATAATGTGATCTGTGTTATTGTCATCAAGTGGATCAAAGCTATACAGTCCGATACTTAGCAGCTAACCTTGATAATTCTCCCCTACTCCTGGCAGATCAGAAATTATAGGAATGCCGAGGCCCGTTATTAAGGAACGTTTTCCGACTCCAGACCTCTCCAGAATGGCCGGAGACCCAAATGCTCCAGCGGATACAACGACCAGTCGATTTGCGCGGGCCAAACGTACTACTTGCGCCCCTGAGGAAACGTATTCAACACCAACTGCACGGTTGTCTCTGCAAGGAGGTGTTGTAAGACAATGAAGTACAAGGCCTCAAATATACTGACTCGAAGACGACCCGTTTGACATGATTACCAGTCATAATATGTAGATTGGGAAAGTCGTGATTGTAAATATAGTTATGAGGGACATCAGATCGTCTTCCGCTCTCGACATCAATGTATCTAAATAGTTTGTCAGCAATTGACACCTTTATTGTGCGCGACCCGTACTTTTGCCATCTCTGAAAGGAATATAAGCTGCGCGATGACTGGGAATGACATAAATTCTTACACCATAAACGTTTATACTGCTCTCCCGCATTCCGTTGGGATCATCAGTTACAGATCGCGTTTTGTCATACTTGGCCGCCACATCGAGGAACTGTTCGCCGAGGTTAGTGAAGTATCCACCCTGCGAGATTTTGAGCGGTCCTGAAGACCCGTGAGTATCCGAGTGAGACTTGAGTTGGTAAGTCTCCATCTAAACGAAAAACCGTGAGCACTGAGCATACGTAATGAAAGTATTACAAGCCACCTTCCGCAGGAGCGGAATGAGAGAGTTCGAACCCCATCCATCATTGCCATAAACGGTCTCCCAATCATCATAATCCGATGCCGAAGGACGAGTATACATAGCCGCTAATAGTAACAAGCTACTCAGTCGCCTCAATGCGGCACAAAAGAGTAGACAGACCATTCACACTGGATCCTCCACCCAAACATTGGCCACAGGGAACTATAGCAGGACGTCCTCCAAGATCTGCACTTTCTTCACCAACGTAAATTTTGACGGTTCGGCTACCTGGGACTAGATGGCTCAAGAATCGAGCGGGTTGGATATGTGAGAGGTCATCTCGAGTCGCCGGTCCTGCCTCCAAAATGAGGACGGTAAGAGATGGATCAGCCGCTGCCAATCGACTAGCAAGAACACAGCCGCTTGCCCCACCTGCTTCCAGTAATGAAGACCAGTACCAGCACTGGGATCAAGACGCACCTCCGGCCACTACAATGTCAGCCTCAGTCACAATGTCGTTCACCATGCTCGGAGGTTCTTGGGAACGAGCAAGGTGAGTGTGACTCGTGTAATGAACGTCCTGTCCTTAATGTCCACGCTCCGCTACAAAACTGTACGGCACACTCTATGCGAACGAACGAGATTCCTCCGACGGGGTTGCCCAATTTCCGAGCCATGAGCAACATATCGTCATGAGAGGCATGGCGCTATCAGACAGTAACAACCACCTCGAGGATAACACGAGACACGGCTCTGGACAATTTCGAATAGGGCCATATAATGTAACAGAAGATGCTGTCTTACCTGATGCAGCTTCTCGACGTTCTCGTTAGAACCACATGCCCTAGGGAACCCAACTCATCGCAGATATTCTCAGGTGAACGGGAAGATGGACAATGCAGCCGGGGTAGATGATCAAGATTTCATTGATGAAGTTTGATACATTACGCACAAGCGTGTTATCAGAAAATCTTGACACAAAGTCCAACTACAGAAGACCTCATCGTCTCGCTCGCTTTGCGCGGGGTTGCGGAAACTGCACAGGCGTTCGTAATACCGCACGCTTTGATTCTCCTGCAGAATCTGGAAGCCCAAGCCTCTTGAGTTCCTTCGGATCTAACTTCTCGATCTTGCACCCTGTGGGATTGATGTAGCTTTAACAAAATGCTCGTATACCGGTTCTGACCATCTTACCCAGTGCCTTGAAGAGCTGATTCACTCTGCTCAAAATTTTGTGAGAAGTCAAGCTGAGACACGCAGTTCACGTACTTCGTAGGAGCCATGCTTAAATCCCGAGCAATTAAGTCAGTGTCGGTGGCAAAATCATCGACATGCAGACATAAGGTAAGCATATATGTAAGAAGCATAGTCTCCGTTTGGGATGTTATCTTCACCCTATAAAGAGTGAATGACTGCAGAACAAGGCGTGCAGCAACATACTAGACGTACGAGCTTGAGTCTCGGGTTGTTTCGGTAAACCGAGCAAGTAGCCCATCCAGCACGATCGGAGGAACACCAGCCAACCGCTTCTGCAGAGTTTCCTTATCATTTACCGACCTGGATGCTGTTTTAAATGCGAACATGATGGAGATGTACAGCACAGTCTTCCTGAGATAGCTGTCAGCAGCGCATTCAAGAGCACTCAGAAAATAATTTACATGTCTATCTTCCTCAGCTTCGGTGCACTAAAGAGAAGATGAACATGCTGTTTGATCCAATTCGAACGCGAAAAAGGCAGGAGAGCGATGCGTTCTTGATCCGTTTTCGCCGACTTGAGCGCGGAAAGCGAGAGAGCATTCATCTCAGCATCGGGAATGATGTCTTGTAAAGCGTACACATCATCTGGTCTTGACGCATTTGCATTATACGGAGGGATGAGACGACTGCTGTCCGCAGATGCCTTGGCCTCCTCTGTAAGCCCAATTGAGTGTGGAATGGTGGGGTTTAGTATCGCATCGGACATACCTGTCGTAGGAAGACTCCCTGTGTTCTCCATGATGGTATCCTGGAGATGACTTGTCACACCCTTCATGGCATCGATATCTACCCTATTCCGCTCTTGTGCTCGAATCGCTGCCTTGGCTTTCTTCGTCCCGAATGTTTCCCCGAGTTTATTACGCAAGCGTACCCGCTCGTCCGTAGTGACCTCTGCTGGGGCTAAGTTTTTTAATGCCTTCACCTGGCGTGTAATTATGTGTAGCGGTGCTGCGCGGAAGGTGGTTAAATTGGTCCGTTTATCGTGGATTCCGACAAGGTAACTGAAGGATATGAGCACGATGAAATTTTTACACCAGTGTTTAAAACGCACCTGCAACCATTTGCCGCCTGCCGAACTTCACCAGCAGTGAAGAACTCCACTGTGTCCGTCTCTCCCGCGACGACAATGTCTCTATTATCCTGATGATCAAGCAGTTCCGACTGCCGAGTATTTCCATCGTGTTGCCAGCAGCTAAAGGACGTGGACTCCGGCGGCTTCAAGGCAGGAAAACTAGCTATAGCACCGCCACCAATCAGTACCACTGGAAACGGGAATATGCATACGCTCAACAACGCTACCATACCCAATATTGGACCGGGCTGAACTGCTGGTTTTTCGGACAGCTGTAAGGTGACCTTGCCTGAGTCGTCCACATCGCGTTTGCGTTTACGGGAGATAGACGTTGACATCGTTGTCCGAAGAAGAGGCGTGACTTCTCGCCACACCTTGACTCTCGCCCACCACCCGCGGGTACGTCGGACTCTGCGCTTGGGCTTTGCATCGCTATTTTATTGCACTTACGTCTATTGCATTCTATTGAGCTTTCTCTTACCTCTTCTCTAACTTCTATCTGACTCTCACTAGCATTTTACTGTGCCTATCCTTTCTAAGCCAGATCTGCTTGCTCTCGGCCTGGGACTCTCTTTGACGGTCCCACAATGTCGCGAGGTCCCTCTGCAAAGAGAGACATACCCCGTCCTGATCCCACAGATTGGACCGTAGGAAACGGAGGTTCCTGTACCGAATCGAAGATGTTCGAGGCTGAAAGTGTCAAGCCTGAAGTAACTGACAATGATCTTCCTGTTGGTGTTAAGCTAGAGGACGCAATGAATGAGGGGGACGGGAATCCCCAAACCAATGAATCCGCTTCGAGGAGTGTATCCTCTGAACTGGAACCTTCCCCGAAGCTTGAAGGAAATTCATCCGGGTCCCCCCCCGTATCCTCACGGCCCAAGAACAAGAGCGAGCCACAGCTAATACGCCATCTCCCCCGCGCGGAACCCCAGGCCTTGCTCACATTTGAAGAGATTCCCCAAAATCACTACCAGTATGGCACTTTGGGTCGTTCGCGAGAGTCTCTCGAGAGCATGACGTGCGACTGCCAGTATGACCCAGGCATGGATGACCCTGACGACGCATGCGGCCATGGGTCAGACTGCATCAACAGACTCACGCAGGTTGAATGTCTTCCAGACGATTGTCGCTGTCGCTCATATTGTCAAAATCAACGGTGGGTCTCAATTGCGTCGGGAAGTCTCGAGTTCTCACATGTCCGATATAGCTTTCAGCGGAAAGAGTATGCACCGATTGAGATAGTTCAGACGGAAAAGAAAGGTTTTGGATTGCGTGCTGCTCAGGATCTACACAAGTACGTTATGTTCTCATATTGTCAGGCAGGGGCCAACCGTACTACAGGGATGCATTCATATATGAATACTTGGGCGATGTGGTTAGCCAACCATCTTTTCTCAAACGCATGCGCCTATATGCAGAGGAGGGCATCCGCCATTTCTATTTCATGATGCTGCAGAAGGACGAGGTAAGTATCAACGACATCGATTCATCGTGCCTACCAATAACACAGAAAATTATAGTTTATCGATGCCACGAAACGAGGTGGAATCGGTCGTTTCGCTAACCATAGTTGTAACCCAAATTGTTATGTGGCGAAGTGGACAGTCGGCCACCACGTGCGAATGGGCATCTTTGCCAATCGTGATATCAAGAAAGATGAGGAGTTGACATTCAACTATAATGTCGATCGTTACGGGTCAGTTCGCAATCAACTGTGTATCTGCAGTCATTCATTTTCTCCGGTGCAATCCATTCATTAGACATGACGCACAGCCTTGTTACTGTGGAGAATCTAATTGTGTTGGCTTTATTGGCGGTAAAACACAGACTGACATAGCGGCCATGGATGACCTCTATCTGGACGGTGCGTGTCTTGCGGTACATTGAAATTTAACGCTTTCAAACCCCACATGTAGCGCTCGGCATATCTGAAGAAGTTGCTGCACTTGGCCTCAAGGGTAACAAGAAGAAGAGGAGCAAGAAGCTCGACGAAGACTTCGTTGTAAATCTCATTTTAGTTTGTTATGATGGTACTAGATCTTAATACCATTACAGCCCACCTTGAAGCCCATCGCGGATAAGGATGTACCGAAAGTCGTTCAAGCTTTGCGACAGACGCAAAGTCGGAAAGTTCTTCTCAAATTATTGACGCGCATCAAGGTCAGTCAATTAGCCACCGATGGGTGTATGTTCTGCACGTCTGATCAACTTTTCTCAGCTGACAGAGAATCTGTCGCCCCTTCGCCAAATCATGCGCTTAAGAGGGTTTAGTGCAATGACCAATATCCTAGAAGATAATGCCGCCGACGTTGAGGTGTCCACGCTGGTCGGTCCTGTGCCTTTGGGTCTATTGCGAAATGCTAAAATTTGAATTCTATAAGGTTATCGAATGCATGATGACATGGCCGCTCATTCAACGGAACAAGGTGGAAGACTCCAAAGTGAATATTCCTGTACAAATCTGTGCTCAGTCGGATAATCAGGGATTGGCGGAGCTAGCTCAGAAGGTGCATTCTATCTAGAGCTTGGTTTTTCAGAAACTGGTTCCCTAACTGTCTGTCAGCTCCTCTCCCAGTGGGAGACGTTGGAGTATGCCTACCGGATACCCAAACGTTTGCAAGGGGTAATTTCAACTACGTATAAGCATGCTGAATACATACTTACCCGCCACTTGTTACTTTTTTCCAGGACGAGGATGAGGATGATGTTCCGATGGTAGAACGCCCCCTGAGTCGTCTTAACGACCCACGCCCGACTAAGAAGGCTAAACCAGAGAGAATTTTAACGTTCGAGTACGAGACGGCTAAGTTAGAACTTCGACCGCTGGGCTTCTCAAGAGAGAGGCGACCTCCTGTATCGGCACCGCGCGAAGGGCTACCGCTACTCCCTTCGTCTGTTGTCGGGACAGGGTGGAATACGGTGGAACCACGGGTTGTTACTCGAGAGCAGCAGCTTGCTGCCATCATTGCAAAGGCTGCTGCAGCCACTACACCTCCCGAGACTGTTCCTTTGGTGCAAGGTCATGATCAATCTGTAGACGGCACGGATCCAGAGTCGTCTCGGAAGAAGCCGTCGAAGAACAAGAAGCAAACCAAGGAGGAAAAAGAGGCAAATAAAGAGAAGAGGCTACTGAAACTCGTAGGTGCAGTGGTCGTCAAGTGCATGTCAAAGTATCAACACCAAATGGATCACGACGTATTCAAGAAGCATGCCAAAGACGTATGTCTCCTCTGGTTATCAGTCTTTCTCGTCTTTCTCACGGATGTTTTCAGTTGACACACATCATCGCTGAGAAAGAAAAAAAGTCTTCCACTTATCAGGAGGGCAAACTCGATTTGCTCTCTGATGAGAAGGTAATCAAGATTAAAAAGTTTGCGAAAGAGTACATCGCGAAAATTCTTCGCAAGCTGGAGAAGGTCGGACAGCGACGGATATCATCGTCCGCGGACAAGGGTGATACAGCGATGGTGACCTTAGCATCAGGCTCCACATCGACTCCTAACGATGCAAGCCTCCCGGATATTTCGGCCGAAGACACGATGGACTTAGATGATGATTCCTTGGAGCATGATCTATCGCCCCCCGACTCAGCGAGCCCGCCGGAAGCTCATGAGACTCCAGAGGGACCGGATCACACACGTATTATTCATGTGGCAGATCCTCGATTGCGACATCGGAATGAGGAGTGTGGATGGGATCCAAACAACCAGGACAAGTTGAGCGTGCGGCAAGGATTGAACACTGTATCGGTAGGATCATAGCATGCATTAGGGCTGTAATGTGGTGATGCTTGCTTATAGGTTATTTGTCTGCTTGTCTGTTACAGTACTAAGTTACGCGTATTAGTAGGCATTGCATCTGATATCTGAATGTGAATGGTTCCGTATATCGTCGATCGACTTACAGCTAGTACGCACGAAGCTGCACAGCCTTGCCGAACACAGGCGCGGCCTTAGTTTCAAAAAGTAGAATTCCTGATCATAGTATGAATGCGACCCTTCTCTAAGTTGCCTGTGCGCGGGATTTATCTATCCTCCTCCGCCTCCTCCTCCTCCTCCTCCTCCACCACCACCACCACGGCTGGCAGGAGGAAGTGGTCTTAGATAAATCGATTCGATTCCTAGAGGAGATCGATATCCGGCCCAACTCACACATACAGCATGTATACGTGCACGTCCGACAGCGCTACCAGTATTACTAGAATCACAATCCACCGGCGGTACTTTCTAGTCCTCCGGATCCGTTCTGTGTTCGGAAAATTACAATTTAATGGAGACAATCGCTTGAATGTAGGTCCGCGTACTTCATACAATCTCATACAATGCTATCATAGTGCTAAAGGATTCATGATTGTAAGACGCTAGTCACTGATGTGTTGCATGATTCTATGTCCGTTCATTCTTCGACGCTTGATTCCTCATTCGCATAGATGCACGGCGCACCGCACCTCCCATGGGAACGAGGCGCCAAAGGAACTTACTAGTAAGGAGCATGACGGCTGGCCGAACCGCTATGCTCGTATCTTGATGTTGAAAAACTTTGCACCATGTTCCGGTGTGTATACCAGCACGAACTCGCTCTGGTTATTTGGCCCGAGTGCGAGTGATACAAAACATGTGGGGAGTGCAATCGGTGAGGCGGAAAGCTTCTGCACACGAGCTCGATAACGGGCTTATGGAAGTGCATTCAACGTATGCCAATCAGTTAAATCGTTTTTTAACTTTGCACCAGCCGGTTCAAACGAGGCACAATAGTGTTCTCCTAGATGTTAATGTCTACTAATTTTCACTGCGAATATGTTTCGCGGCAGGTAACACTTACGATAGCTACTACCTAGAACAACAACCATAGTTTGAGCCAATGCGAACTTCTCCGAGTCGTGCACGTAGCTCGGTTTCAGAGCAGATCTAGAACTTTCATTTAGCACGTTGCTTTTTAGGCGAGGAGATTACGTAAGTCGTGGATGAACCCTAACCTTAAGCTGGTATCTCCACCTTTGTGGACTTGCACTCGACGTCATCGTTGAACCCAACTCGTCATCGCAGAGACGCTTGCTGCCTCATATATAAACATGTCCCGCCACCCCCGGTCTTCCATATACTTCTTCGCCCCTTGACCTGCACCCTTAAACTCTTTCCTTGCGAACGCCTTCAAACTGACGAAAAGCACGGCAATCACGCGAAGATGAGACTGACGACAAAAATTGTCCTCCTGTCTTTCGCTCTTGGCGCCGTTCAGGCGTCCTGGTTCGGGTCCGATAAACATAAAGACCAAGGTATTTTTTCCTTCACCCTCCTCTAACACGTCTCATCCGTTTGCTCAGCAGAATACTCCTCTTGGTCTCCTACTCAGCTGAGCGCTTGGCTAGTGTCTCAAAATGTCCCAATTCCTACGACCTCACCCGGGCCATCAATTGCCGATCTGCAGTCTCTTGTTGCAGCCCATTGGGGTACCGCAGCCGCATCCGCTTCGTCTTGGACTGCAGAGCAGACACAGTGGGCTGCAGATCGCGCAGGCACCGCACAGCAAGCCATTCTTGGTTCGTATGGAAGTTTGAAGCAAGACGCATTTGACGCATGGGATGAATCCCGTCTACGCGAGTTCCTCCTTGAGCAAGGTGTCGTCGCACCCAGTGGACTTCGTGAACAGCTTGTGCTCCTCGCGAAACAGAAATGGGCACAAGCGAGTGCCGCTGCTTCCACACACAGCAAGTCCGCGAGCAGCCTCGTCAGTGACGGTGGAAAAAGTATGAGCAGTGCAAGCAGCGCTGGCAGTAGCGCAGCAAGCCAGGCAACAGCTAGCGTCTCCGCGGCGTTGGACGACACGAAAGATTACATTTACTCGACGTAAGGGCCACCATATGTAAGCCCCGCATGCTACAAATATTGATATATGCATATGTCTATAGGTGGGACGACAATGCTCTCAGAGCATATCTTGAGTCTAAGGGTGTCTTGGAGTCTAAACAGGAGGCTTCGAGAAACCAGCTGCTGCAGTGGATGCGCGATACATACGCCAAAGCTGCAAACCCGATCTGGGAAGCTTGGAGCGATTCTTACATTGTGAGTATACTCCCTTCGCCCATACATAGCGGGGACCTCGTTCCTGTATCTTATGCTCATTTGTAATTATAGCATCAATGGTTGGTGAACAATGGTATTCTCCGTTCGGACATCCAAAAGAGGCGCGACGAATACTTGGTGCTGTTGAAGCAATACTACTATGGTCCTCAGGACACCGCGTACTCAGCTTGGAATGATTCGCAAATGAAACAATGGCTCGTGGAACATAACGTGCTGAAGACTGATGCGCAGGTCAACAGAGAGAAATTAGAGAAACTTTTGTCGTGAGTATCTTCTCAGCGGGATATCGTCAAGATGGATGATAATTGACGTTGATTGTGTGTTCAGGGATAATTATGCGCATGCGCATGACACTGTCTGGAGTGCATGGACGGATTCGGACATGAAGGCATGGCTCGTTGAGCATAAATATATTAGGAGCGACGCCGAAAAGACACGCGATGAACTAGTCAAACTTATGCACGAGAAGTATGTTTCTACTGAGTATTGTTGGAAGACGACACTCATATATGATGGTTGTGGAGGTACTCTGATTTTAACTCACGTACGGCGCCATATCTTGTGTGGCCCGACGCACGGCTGCGTGCCTACCTGCGTCAACATGGCGTAAGCGAACAAGCAGTGCCAACGACTCGCCCGGGCTTGTTACAAGAGGTGCGCATTCGCTACGTGCAGACAACCGGGCGAGCAGAAGCACTCTTCGGGAAAGTGAGGGATGTAATCAATGAGGGCGTTGAAGTCGCAGAGGACAAGCTCGGCAGGGTGTGTCTTACTACCTCTTTTTTAATGCACTGTCCGCCAACTTGAGCATACAGGTGTTGGAAATTCTCACTGGTGGGGCAGAGAGTGCAAAGGCAAAGACAGGCGAGGGAATGCAAGCGGGAGGTGAAAAAGTCCGCGATGCAGGAGCGAAGATGTCCAAGGGTGAACTTTGAGGGGCGTTTCCAGTATGTGGGGATGATAATGAGAAGCGCCGAATACGCTGTGAACGGCTGAAGGACGTTGTTCGAAGCTCGGCTTCTTATAATGGAACAGTGTACTATATTGATTTTGTACTACTAGTTTTGAGGATTCCGCCGTTTAGCTTTGCCTTCGCTATCTTCTTGGTGTATTGTATGGCGAAACTTCCATTCATGTTGGTCGCTCTCTTCTTATGCTAAGTCAAGTGCAGCAAGTTGATCTTCGTGTATATTCAAAAGCTGCAGTACAAAACAAGAGTATCTCCAAAACGTTGTCGCACGGTAATTTGCACTCCATCATTGCGAACTGTCCACACGCGAGAGGGATCAGCTTCCCTCTACACCCCATCTTGCAGGACATACGTACAAATATACGCACAGTATGCATCTTGAGCGGCGTGCTCACAGCCTATTTGCTCTTCGGGGGCTCAGCGCAGCCACAGGCCGGCCAGTTGCAGTTGCCCCCGTTCTTCTCGGTATTAGCGCACTTCGTGGTGTCCTGGAAGTATAAACGTCAGCTTCGTAATGGATCAAAACATACTGATGCTCCAGGAATGAGCGAGTGGGGCACTCACGGACATGTCGGTTGGATGGTGTGAGCAGATGTGCTTGTCGTAACTGGAGATTGTATGAGGACGGAAAGGCGTTCTTATAGACCATGCTGTGGTACTACAGAACCAGGATGCTGCCTTGGCGTGTCTGTGTCCTTACCATACTGCTGCGAGGGGAGGTAATGTCTACCGCCCCATTGGTGCACGCCTTAGCACAGTGCAGAACGAGAGAGGATGAAGGTCCTGAGCGGATCTTAACTGATCTGACTTTCCTTATTTGTTGTCCTTCACATCTCCATTGTTGGCAGAAGTTGATTCGCTGGCAAGCGACTAGTAAGCTCCGTGCGGCGTGAAGAGTCCTTCACGTCGGCCGTATATCCGAGTCGCCCTCTATATACTCTGCGAGAAAGATGTAGCGCAATGACTATGATACCAATCGAAGAACTTGCCTTCCGTAAGCCGTAGAACGAGCGCTGGTGCCGCATACCTCTCATTTCAACACATATGGATCACAGATGGATCACAGGGAAAATGAAGGTGTGAGCTGCATAAGTGAGACAACCTTATTGGCGCAGAACCCTTTCATCTGAGAAGTAGCGGAGTGAAGTGTCTGGAAAAATGTCTGAAAAAATGGGGTTACAAACCAGTCTCGAGATCTTTCAGCTTTGTCATGCCAGGCTGATATTGATTGAATTTGTCATGAGGGTCGCCAATGGGATCCGTTCAATTCTGCGTCAAGGACACGAACAGTATTATCAGCCAAGTTGCACACTCATGCCCCTAATGCTCGAAAAGGTTCGACAGTATAAAAGGAGACGACCGACAACGCCACTCTGCAGTCCACGACCACAACATTCTATATCATCATGTCTGTAAGTGCCATCAACATAGAATGCCTATGATCAATTGCTCACATTTTTGTATGTTAGGACACCACGAAGTGCGCCAACACTGAGAAGAACGGGGCCAGCTGCAACTGGCCGGCCTGTGGCTGTGCTGGGCCTCCGAAAAGCAAATAGACGTCTCGACGTTCTTGACAGGTATGTCGCAACAGCAAACCAGGCTCAAAGCATACGTTTATTCTTTCGCTACCAGTTATGCGCGAGGATGGGCTGAACATAACTGGAGTATGACGTTTCCCAGATAGTGAGGTTGTACGACGCGGTGGAGCTTGCCTCTCAACCTGTGGAATGATATGAATGTTCGCGCAATCTTGATATATGAAGAGAGTTCACATTGTGGTGCGCAGTGCCGTGCGCAATTCTATATTTGTTCAAGCACACCTTCTGTGCGATCTTGCTTTGAGCATCGAGCCCATTTCATAGCTGAGTGAATGGATACTTCGATGGAAATGAAGGAATCGCACTAGGGAAGACAGACTCATCCAAGCCTCATCGCGTCATGTCTGTTCAAAGCGAGGCGGGAGAGAGAGCCGTTCCCGCGAATATGCTAGGCGCTTGCATAGTCGGCCTTACTCGGCCCGAGATTTCAGGCCCGCGGCAAACCAAATTGACTCAGCTTCGGATTCAGCGCCAGCCCTCGCAGCTTTTTTCTGGATCGTTACACACAACGTCTGTTTTCTCATTGCTAGCCATGTTTGAATCGAAAACAGACTCTTTCCAGCTTTTTGATCTGCGGCTATGTCATAGCTAGGCACGACACAAAGGTCATTGTCTGGCAGGTCATGGGGCTGTATTAGAACGGCTAGTAACAGCCTAGTGCAGTGTGAGTTAACGTATGGAGATCTCATTCCAAATTCCCACTGCTACGCTCACCGTGGACTGCAGTTTACGGTATGTCCGTTTTTTTTATTACATGGTTGTAAAACTCTTCATTCTCTTCTAAAAATCTCAGCAATGTAGTTCGTTTCTGGCAGACTTCGTATGAGCCGCTGACAGAAGCCGTGTGCTTTGGTTCAGACCGAAATAGGATACGGAAGTTCTTTCGGCTTCTTCATTGATATTTCTCCACACATGCGCGAATTTATCTCATCTTCCCCAACCCCAGTCACTGATCCCCATTCCTTCAATATTATCCATAGCTTCTACTCCAATAGTTACGGCGAACAAGGTTACGCTGCTAGGTAGGCGCATTAGCTTACTTTGATAGAATCCGAAATTAGCCTGCACTTACTTATCCGACCACCTAGTCGAACTCAGCAGTAGTAGTCAGGGTAGCATGACTCGGGCGCTGGCTCGGGGACGGGCTCAGGGACGGGGCTGGCGGTGGCCATACCGAAGATGGCAACGAAGGTGAGGGCGAGGGCAGCGATAGAGTAACGCATGTTGGAAAGGTGGGTAGGTTGCTTGACGAAAGCTCGACGAAGGCTTGTTGATGAGGAGAGGGTATACACTGCACTCCCTTATATACGGTTTTTGCCCCCCTTTCTCGAGCTCTTACTCAACAATGCTGACGTAGGCGTTGCTCATCTCAGGGATAGCTTTGCCGCAGTCTCAGAGATATGCGCATGAATCAATCAACACGCTGTGGACCCCAGCAACCATATCTCCAAGAAACAAGCCGGACGAGCATTTCTGTAAAAACAACAATTCTTACTACACATTATTTTGACTGAAATGTGGCGTTGACGTTCCTCCCACTACAGATACTCTTTACAATGTTTTATTTCTTAAAATTCAGGTGGGGTATAATGCGCGATGTCAGCGTAATTGTACACCATTTCAGAGTCATCGACATATCGATGAGTCGCATGTCTAATCTCAGGCACCGGGATATGTCTCAGGGTAACGACATACCATGTGCATTGCGCAGTATTCAATATGATCTTATACTTAGGTTTGGATATCATAGATGCGGCCCAGTTGTTCCACTGCGACTTCCGAGAGATGTTTCTGTCAAAAAAAATCCCATACAGGAATCCTCATCACTTGGGTCCAAAGTCGTGATCAGACTCAAGGTCAGCGCTTCGTGGCGCAATCACACGATTCAGGAAACATAGATCGAACTTGCCACCACGGGGATGTCAGAGGAACACTCTTGACTGGGGTCGTAGCAAGGTTGTAGCACTGAGTGCTCTCATCCAGGTATGCCGCACTACAAGAGTGATGAGCAATCCTGCTTACTGATGTTCAGAAGTCAGCGTTATCGGAGGTTCGGGGAAATACCTTTCGTCCGAGGTCTCACTTCGTGCCGAACTGCTCGGAAGAGCCATGCGCTACTAATACCCACACTAACCGCCTCGCGGGTTGCTTGTAGGTATGTCTTAGTCTGATCGTCGGCGACCTCTGTGGACATGTTACTAATACGGCATTATGGGCATAAGTAACTTAGCGAACAGGACTGTGGCGAGTGGCATGTATAGCTCATTGTGCAGTATGCATAGTGCATAGTGTGCGCACTGAAATAATCTCGCTAAATGTGCTCAGTAGGATGGCTATCACGGTAGGATCTTCACCCAAGCTTTAATGTGGGCTCAATCACCCTTCATTATGATGGTGCCTAAAGTAGCTTATAAGACCACGCCGAAGCTACGGAGCGCAGAGCCGCAGACTGATGATACATTCCAAGTCCATGCGCTACACATGCTAGAGTTCGAACTACCCTACAAGCTTGTCTAATCGCCAACCGTGCCTGCTACAACATTAGCATGAACACCCCATGCTATGCCGACGCCGAACAATATCCAGCCTATGATGATAATAGCGGCACCTGCCCCGAGACATGTCCACCTTAACCATGCCTTGTTCGGCTCGGGTGCCTTCAATCGTTTTTCTTTCTCTTTGACCTCGCTTACCTCGCCCACTTCGTCCTTCGGTACAACAAGGCCTATCTTCTCGCATAGACACTCAACCTCTGCGGAGAGAACCCTTGGCGATACTTGTGAGAGACGTGCAGCAGGAAGGAGAGTGGGCATGAAATATGACACGAAGAGCAGCCCGCCAGAGATCACAACAGAGATTAGCGCGTATGCAAGCCACAAGGATACTGCGGGTTCAAGTGAATTGTTGGGAGAGTCATCCTGCATTTTCCCGGCCGCCGTTGTGATAATCACTATTGACGCTTGCACGACAGATTCTGCCCGGTGTAAAATCCGCGTTGAGAGCGAAAGGGTAATATATGAGCACATGCCCAAGTAGGTTCAGGTACGAGACTTACTCTTGATTGCGAAGCTGCGTGGGCAAATATAACTTAGCAAGCTATGTTCAGTTGTCATGCGAACCCGCTTACCCTGTCGCATAATCCTGCGGATTCGGAATAATGTTCCGTACGATCTCGACTTGCGGAGCTGGCGTGACACTCTGATTCAGACGGACGTCTGTCAGTGGCATGATCATACTCAATTTGCAAAATACCACGCGCCTGCGATAGCGCATAGAACACATATGCCGTGACTTGAAGCAAGGATATATAAGTGAGGTGCCGCGATTACCAAGAAGTAACTAAACACTCACTGAAAGGAGGAACTGTGTGGGAGAACCTCAGCAGTATCATGGACACGAGGAAGGTTAGAGCGGACAAGAAGACTGCACGATCTCGGGTGAGGCTCGAGAACATCTCAGGGTAAGCTGAACTCACGGAAGCCGATTCGCTGGCCGAATGCATCAATGTAGATCCCCAAGAAGGGTGTCAAACATGCGGGAAGTAGCAGGTAGAAACTTGAAACCCATCCACCAATGACTGCGCCCTGCTGCAGACGCTGCTGTGCGAATTGCCTGGAGAAAACGCGGTCATGCACCGGTCACGGGGAAACGCGACCACGTGACACTCACGTCGAGATAGACACGAACGACTGCACCCCCGCGTTTTCAAACGCGGAGAACGCAACGACAATCCAGAAGGTGAGTGGGAGGTTACGCATCGCGCGAAAGTTGAATGCAGCACGTCTTGTCTGCCCTGTGTGTCGCTTTCCGCTCGTCTGATCAGTCACCGCATAGTTTGCGCGGAGATATCGATCAAGGAAGACGACGGCGGCAGCACAGATGAAGGAGAACATGGCAATTGCTGCACCGATCCACAGTGCGTATGAATAGGAGCCTAGTTTTGTGGTAACAATGTTCGCAGTGGATTGACCGGTGAACTGCGCCAGGTTAGCTATGCCCCTACGGGTCTATAGTGTCAGCAGACAAAATATCAGCGGAAATGTGAAATTGTACCAGATTGTCCCTGTGAGTCATCGAGCGAAGTATGTTTGGTAACGGTAAGTAAAAGAGGCTTGGCCGATGTACAAAGGAGCGACACAGACCGATTGAAAAGGCAAATCCTCTGCCAGGTGCGAAGTATGTCGAGAATATGCGGTGCTGGGCGTTGTCCAAAGAACCGTCGCCAATCGCGGCGATGACTTTGCCGACAATGAGGAGGGCGTAGCTGTTGAGGTTATTCGTCGACGCGCCAGCCATTACAAGTGAGCCGGCGAGGTGAAAGCCGGCGAAAATGACGGATAACGGTGCGCCACCCCACTTGTCTATGCAGTAGCCAAACCCGATGCACAAAAACGTATTAATCTAATGATCACAAGAACGGGAGAGGTTAGTGACCAATGAAAATCAGTTCCATAAGGTGCACTAACCAGATTCGTGATCGCGACCTGCAACATTCAACGGCAATTAATATATACATAAGACAGATGGATAGCGCAAACAGACCAGGGTAGCGAATTCTGAATTATTAATGTGCGTCTCCTTGATGATCGTCGTTTTGAGTGCCCTGAAGGTACATTAGTATCTCACCAAAGGGGAGTATATAAATATCGACGGACACAATTAAACCCTGTCAAAGACAATTAGATCAACATTCGGGACAACAAACACGGGGCTTACATTTGACCAGTGGTTCCCAACTGAAAGTGGGACACGATGAGCGCCACGTCACAGCCATCAGGGAGAGAGTACTCACAGGTACATAGGCAGGTCAGTACAATCATCAAGAGCTTCCATCCGAGTGGTAGTCTCCGTCTGGACGAAAGGGACGATGAGGAGGAGGAGTGGTCCTCGGATGTCTTGTCATCAACGCTCAGTCGGTCCTCTACATGGTAAGGAAACTTTTCGTCGACGGGGCTGTTCATATCTGATTTTTATGGGGGGGACTGACTGCTCAACTGGACAAGAGCAGGGTATTTGAGCGGGGGAGGATCTGGGTGGACTACTGGACAGAAAGAGCGAACCTAGACATCTTATCAGATATGCTGGGGGAGAAGATGAGATCTTCTTGGGGGTAGTCTGACAGGACCCTGGAGGAATCCGGAACGAGCCGAGCCCACTGCCGCGTCGGCGACGGACCCGAGCGGGAAAGAGAGGCTCAACGCCGATAAAAATAGCGCCACCCTGTCCCCAGAATCTGCAAACGCTCGCTCAACGACGAACTCAGACGAAGTTCTTAGAAGAAAACATACGAGAGGGAAGCGTTATATAAGGCAAGACGGAACCCGGGGAGTCTCAACTGCCAGGGTTGTGTTCTTTCTGGGGCGCGATTGCACACGTCTGCAGCTCCAGCGCGGATTCAATGCGACGGCATCTGAAATGCAGATCATCCAACACGCCTAGTCTTATCTGATAACGCGGAAGATTATCAGTTTCATCTAATCTTATCCTCCTCGTGGCCTCTGGATTGTTACCACATCCCGGACTACGCACAGCAATCGTCGCGACTATGAATCCATACAATCCCTCATAGACTGGTACTCGGGATTGAGGATTAAACTCGACTTGGATCAGAAGAACAAGGACGTACTTCCAGTCCGCAGATGGGCCGCTTCACTAGGCTCTTTCTCGACTGCTGCCGAGAGCCCATTGCGCTTGACTCGGGACAATGGTGTCTATAGAACGTAAGTATCGGTGGATTTCGGCGTGGAAGCCTGTGCTCCGATCCTTGGCATGGCACGCCCACAATCAGCTCGCATTGGCATTATTAGTCGTCGGTATCAGCATTCACGACACAACTTATCGCGTTCAAGTCATACTTGCCTGAAATATCAAGTTCAACCCGCGAGTATGTCGCATTGTAGCGAAAACAAGATCATGGGTTCCATTCACGGGAGTCTCGCTTTGTGGAGCAGGTCGATTGCATGGAGGTATTCAATAGTATCAACCACATCCGGAATGAATTGTAAGGCCGCAGACAGATGCTCACGGACAAATAAAGTCAGGGGAAATTAAAAAGAGAATCTAACTTTACGTCTCTAATACAATGTTCCTGGAAGCATCGACCTGATGCGTCCAATCAATTTGCCGTGTTTGTTCATAGTCGAGATCTCATCGTCATGCGGCAGGGGTCCAGCATATGGACACTCTTTCGGAACGTTTGCCAAGGATATGTCGTGTGCAATCTATGCTCAAGGAGCGAGACATGTGAACCAGTCTGGACACCAGAAGGCAGTGGGGCCTGAGCGACGCACGCACTGTGTGATAGTATTAGATGTGAATAGGTCGTACAGCGGAGCTATGTTGCCGAGACGGCTGCCACTTTGCTTCAGTTGGTAGTAGGAGAAGTAGGATGAAGTCCGCAAAGACAAAGTCGCATATTGTCGAGTCATCGAGGCGCGAACCAGTCCCTCAGTCTAGAAAGGCAAAGCGCATCAGAATAATTCCATCACGAGGCCGATCAGTGGCTTATCTAGGCGACGATACTGGATCGGTCTGGCCGCGTCGGTTTGAAGTCGGACAATGCATACGAAAGGGCAACTATTCAAGATGCCATGAATACGAGCGGTATGCGCTTGAATGTGCTATAGTGAACCAACAGAAATCTCAAAAAAAAAATTCAATTGGCCAGAATGAGAGGTGGGCACGATCACAAATATGTGTCCGCTGTTGTCTTTTTCAGGCTGCTGCCAGTATCTCGGCGCTGGGATGAGCCATGACTTCACGGATCTCGCCATGGCTGTCATTAGAACACATGTGGACGCCCCATCTCTACAGGATCAACACAGGATCAACACAACTTCATGAAGCTGCGAAAATGCTCGTGTATTTGCGGTATTCACGTCAAATAGTGAATGTCCGTTGCATAATGGAACACGCTTCCTCATGCTTGCCCGCCTACAAGGTCGCATCCGATTAGCGGCTTACGATGCCCGTTGAGCACATGCACATTCTATACGATGAAACATCTCAGCGGATCATTAGGCCTGAGGAAGCACCTACACCTTCGCATTCATGTCATTGTTACGATGTCGGAGACCTGGAACAATGTTATCACATGCACACCTGCACGAGCTTCTTCAGCATATCATGATGCGAAGCATAAACCCTGACGGATAATCCCCCACGAGTTGCACAATCGTGTACGAATGATGCAAATTGGGACGGAATCGCCGATGGGATTCCTAAACGTCAATTCGCTGGAGAATGACGAAGCGGGCCTATGAGAATGGTACGGGATATGTCTGCACAAACTTTGCGTCTCCCTATGATGGCCGACCTTGCTATGATTAGGCTTTCGTAACTGCACTCTCGAGTGCCACAGTACTGGAGCCGCGTGAGTTCGGAAAATCCTATGATTGAAGATTGAGTGAGATGAATGCAAATCTTATGGAAAACATACCAGCTGATAACGAAGTGCCGCAGTGACACTCCACTTTACGACACGCCCCCGAAAGTGGAGTTAAGTTCGCCATGGAATAACTGAACCCGAGGCTTGAAGATGCCTGAGACGGCCATAAGAATCAACATGGATTGAAGGCACCAGTTTGGCAAAGATAGCCGACAAGCGGCGGAAATATCATATGCGGGGTTAGAGGTGATTTGCACAGATTTTCCAAACCTGCTGCAGGCCGTTAAAACGAGACAGGGTCGCGCAGGGGCACGGAGACATGTCGGCGCATCCCGATGCACAAGAGAATGGATGTGCGGAGGAAGAGTGCGTGCCTCTGCACTCCTCCAATGACTAGGCCAACGGGCGAGAAGGTTTCGTCAGGTGTCTATCCACCAGAACAGAAGTTTGCGATTAGCACCATTCAGTTGATTAAGGCCATGGTCCCGGATCGAGAACGCTAACGCACATAGTCGGAAGAATAAGCCATTACCAGCGGTCAAAGAATAAAGTGGCAGATACTATCCTGACTGCACCAGGAAGCTGGAACCTCGGCCAATGACCTAGATCGCTCCAGATTATTGCTTGTCGGGTCTCAACAAGAAAGAATCAGACGAGAACAAGGACCCGAGTGAACCCAACTAATAGACAGAAGTTATAAGTAAATTAAACGGCACAATTGACCACGCACTGATCGGCCCTTGTGAACAAGCGCAGTGCCTGGTCCGAATAGCTGTCGGCCTGAAGCTCAACAGTGGACAGATAGCTGATTTGGTACTCGCCTGGTCTTGCAGTACCAAAATCGATCCAGAGGGCTGGAACCGATGGCGAAAATCGAGACTCGCCTCTGCCCTGAAAGTTGCTCATTGTTTCGCATCTCGTGGAGTGAAATGACACCCGCCGGGCCAATCATCGAGAGCACCGAACCGACATTGCGGATTCGAGGGCAAGTCAGGCGAGACATGTCCATGGCGTAGTGCCAGTGTAGTTCCAGAGTCCAAGAACGCCGACGTCCTGAGAGCCTTCGGGTTCGACTCGGAGAATCCACCCAAAGCGCGTAATGCCCTGCCCTAAACTCGCCGCGTCCGATGTCGCCCAGTGCGCGAATCGGACGCGTCTCGGTCAGCCCACGTCTCGCGCCGCACTATCGACGAGTGGTGCGCCGAAAAGATGAGGACCGGACGAGCTATGCGCAGGAATTTAACACACCTCACTGGTCAGGCCTCAGATTTCAGGTCGAAGCACAATCATCATCATGGGCTCATCATCGTCACGGAGACTCGGTGTCCGAGTCGTCAATTTACTCGTTATTCGCGCTGTGACAAATGTAAGTAGCTGCTCCGGAATTTATCCCAGACGGCTTCCTTGACGTTTGTACTTCCGTCTAGCTGCGTCTTACGGCCTCCTCCCTGATTGCATAGTCTGCAGTGCGCATGATGCTTCTTCCGCACCTATGTTTTGACCTAGGCCAGTAGTCCCCTGCGGATCAAGACTGGAGCAGAAAAGAAGTCTGACAACTGACAGCGCATGTTGGAGTTCGGCATGAGTATTTTCGAACAAATGAGTACGATGGCTTTTCAATCTGCGCTCATTTCGACTCACAATGACGAAATCTGACATGGTGGCGATCAATGCTAATCTAATGTCAGACTTAGGCCCATGTAACGGTAACATTACGTTGTATGTTGCTTACTTGGACCTCATACGATTGTTGGGGAGTATCGAAAAATTCCTACAGTCTCCTCTCCCCCTCCCCTTCCCCAATCGTCCAACCGTGGAAGCCCCCATCATTGTAACTCATCTATGCTTTGAACAGGCACTGATACTGTCCTTTTTAGCTTTGTGTGCTCACGTACTAAACTCGTGTGCACGCGAGTATGCTAACCAGGGCCTTATGGGAGAATTGATCGGTGTATCCTACTTGCGGTATTGTGAGCCATATCATTGTCTTTTGCAGTCATTTCCGTTGCTCACCACCATTGATCACATTCTGTCTTCGCTTTTACCTTGGCCTTTTGCTTTCGGATTCCCCGCTGAAACTCGTTCTGTTTATATCTGTATTTTCCCGGTTATTCAGATGCACCCATTAGCCCTGGAAGCCTATGGCACTCTTCGTGGATACGCATTGACGCTTTTGAAGACATCCATTGGTAACGTAATGTTTGCGACACGGAACGAAGGACATCTCAATTTGAGCTTTTATACTACTGATAAACATCATCAGTTCATTTGAATAATGGCAACATGGTTCCCTTCGTTCTTTATGTGACCATGCTCACTCAACACCACAGCGTTCTCATCGTCCGCATCGGATGACATGACGGCGATCAAGCGGCGTACTGCCCATGAGGCCTTGGTGGGTCGTCTCATTACCTGTACGGAGACCGGAGTCCGTTGTGGTATAAGATCTGATCCTATCCTTATTCGAACATTATGCCAACCTCGATGCAGGCAAGCTGGAGAACATGGGGTGGTCCTTCATTGCCAATGGATAGCAGCCATAAACGAGACTGTCATGCACGACATTTTCGATAGGTCTGTAAAAGTATCATACTCTGCTTAGTCGCTGTTACTCGATTATGGCCAAAAGGAGTTCATATGGATCCCACGTGTATGGTCAAACGTGTCGGAACTCCATTTCCGAGTCTGATATCTCCTTCCTTCCTTACCTGGGTACCGCATGCCTTGCACGCTGGCGG